CTTCTGAAAAAATCAGCTCTGTGCCTGGGGATATAGCTCGGTGTCACAGTACCTGTCTGACAAGTGCAAGGTGCTGAGTTCAATTCCTAGTGCAAAAAAAAAAAAAAAAAAAAACCAAACAAACAAAAAAACCAAAAAAAAAAAAAAAAAAAAAACCTCTGTTTTTATTGGTCTTTTCTATTTTTCTAGTCTTTATTTGCATTCTGATTTTTGTTAATTTTCTTTCTGCTGCCTTCAGCTTAGTGTATTCTTTTTCTAGTTCCCTGATGCATAATGTTTATTTATAATTTTTAAAATGTAGACATTTCTCACTATAAACTTTCCTCTTAATGCAGCTTTTCCTACATCCCTTCAGTGTTCATATGCTGTGCTTCTTTTATCTTTTGTCTGATACAAATTGTCCACTCTTCTCTCCTCATGACCATCTCCAGACATCTCTGAACTGGTCTCCCCTGCAAGCCATTCAGTGAAGTTCTTCTCCATGGGTTGGCTTCTCTGTGTTATTGGTGTGGGTTCTTAACTAGATTTTTTTTTTTAAATCAGTACAGGGATCAAACTCACGACTGCCTGCTTACAAGGTAGGCGCTTATGCTGCTGAGCTAAATCCCCAGCCCATCTTAACTAGATTTTTAACTCTTTCAGATCTACTTTTTTTCACAGCTAGTTGCCTAATTGTTGTTTTGGGAGAATATGTGAAGTCTGGTTTCTCTTATGTTGCTGCCTTGCTGACACCAATCCCAATCATCCTATGTTAATTTTATTTGACTGATAAACCTATTTGCATCTGCAATATCCATTTTACCAGGTAGCATAATGTCATCCTGGGAATATAGCCAGGAGCAATTGGTCCTGAGAGCCACCTTAAATCATGACTGCCATCAGAAGGTATATTAATTATCAATAAGCCCATGAAATCATATGCTTAAAATGATTATTCATAAGGGAGATCCAAATTAAAGCCACAGTCAAGACCCAATGTATACCTAAACTCAGGAGAAGGATTAAATAAACAAAAAAGGGTGTTATATACTGGCAAGACTGGAGCAAATGAAATTATGCAATTGTTTTGGATATTATTTTGGAATTTTTACATACAAACACCATATGACTCAGCAAAGTGACTCCTTGGCATTTACCTACGAAGAGGGAGAAACTTCACTCACTGAATGGTTCATTGGAGCTTTATTAATTGCTGCCCCCAACTGGAAGCAACCCAAATATATATAAAAAGGTGAATGGATAAAACTGTGTTATGCTCCTATACTTAAATTCTTTGCAGGGAGAAAATGAATAAATTATTGTTCCATGGAACAAGATCAGTGAATGTAAACAAAAAGTTATGCTTAACAAAAATGCTACACCCGGGGCTGGGGATTTAGCTCAGTGGCATAAGCGCCTGCCTTGCAAGCAGGCAGTCGTGAGTTCGATCCCTGGTACCGATAAAAACGAAAAAGACAAAAAAAAAAAAAAAAAAAAAAAAAAGAATGCTACACACAAAAGAGACTGTGCTGTGTGATTCTACTTATAGGACATTTGTGAACTCATCTCTAGTAGTAGATCTAAGCTTGGGAGTTACTCTAGGTGAACATTATTTAGACTGACAGTATGAGGCACTAGATAACTTCTTGGGGAGATAGAAATAGTCTGTTTTTTTGTGGGGGAGTCATGGTTGTATCAAAAAACTTTTGCACATCTGATGAATCTTTTTTTAGACAAAGTAAAACTAAAGTTTATTTAATGTAGCCATTTCTGTCACAAGAGAGGATAGCTTGTATTTTGTATTATTTAACACTGTTCTTGAATTTAGAGTTGATAAAATTAGAGACACAATACAAATAAGTTGAAAGTACTTAAAAAGGAAAGGAAATGTATCACTCTTGACCCAAAAATAAATCAAATTTTTTTGAAAATTAAGATAATAGGGCTTATTAAAAATGCTTCATAAAGTGCTTGGATATAATATAGATGTACAATTTATAGACAATATAAACAGATAGTATACTCTTAATAGTACAAAATGTGAATTTATGTCACCAATCTGTTGAAATGAAATGTGTATACTGAGATAAAGAGACTTAAATAGGAAACCACATTACAAGATAAAAGGCAACACGTAAAATATGACTTTTTATGTTATTTCTTAGATCCAATAAAATACCAATAAAGTAAAAAGAATAGCTAAGAAAATTTTAAAAAGAGCAGAAAGGGGATAAGTACTACCAGGATTAAATATTCCAATATGTTTTAAAGCTACACCAATCAAATCAATTGATCACGGTAATAAAATAAAAATATTGAAAAATAAATCATGAGAACACAACTAGGAGCAAAGACTGAAGAGAATAAGTAGCTTAGAAACAGATATTATTATAAAATACTTATATATTATAACAAAGTTGTTATACATCAAAGAAAGAACAGACAAATTTCTCAATCAGTGGTGCTGGACTATTGAATAAAGTATTAAAAATTTTCGCTGTGGGGCTGGGGATTTAGCTTAGTGGCATTAGCTCCTGCCTTGCAAGCAGGCAGTCGTGAGTTTGATCCCTGGTACCGATAAAAAGGAAAAAGACAAAAAAAAAAAAATAATTCGCTGTACTGCATATACCAAAATAAATTCCAGAATCAAGTTTTTAAAGAGCCCTTGACAAATAGAAATGGAGATTAATGTTTACTAATTAAAGCTTTGGAATACATTGCAATGTTAATAAAAAAATCAATGTAAATAAATTTGTCACTACCCTCTGTAGATCACCTGAGTGTACACATGCTGTGATAAATCTTCATAGACTGCAGGGAAACTTTTATTTTGAAAGATAGCATCACTATTTTTTTCAAATGATAAATTGGTAAAAACATTTATCATATATATGAAGCAGAATTAACATATTTGTCTTATTAAAAACCATCTCACTCCGGAAAGAATGATTATTTTCAAGAAATCTGCCAATAACACAATGCTGGTGGGGTTGTGGGATAAAGGAAACTTCTCCACTGTTGGTGGGAATGTAGACTGGTGCAACCACGGTGGAAATCAGTGTGGAGAGTCTTCAAAAAAACTAGGACTAGAAGTCCCATCTGACCAAGTTATTTCCTTCTAGGTATCTTCCAGAAAGAATTAAAAGCATCCTGTGATGATGTACTTACTAACAGGAAACTCTATGTCTTAAGAATTTACATGGACACAATGATTCTGTTTTTCAGCTGATTCCGAATCTCAGGGTCAATAAACAAAGCCAGGATCCACTAAAAACAATTATTGTCACAAAAATCAAATGACCATAAACATCTTTAAGAACAATTAGATGGACAAATATGTGAACAAACGGCTCCTAATTGAAGGGATACTGAGATTGATGAATAGTTTAAAAATGGATTATTAATAAAGAACTGCCTATCTGTAAAGTTATACACAAATTTTAAAAATTAAAACATTGAATGCTGGCTTGGGTTTCAGCACAGCTGAAAGAAGTTAATACCTTGTTTTGGAATTTAGACTTGAATGTAGTCGAACGTTTTATGAAAATGATTTTGCATTGTCTATCCATAACCTTATACCACTTTTGCCTCTTCTGAGACTGTATGTTAAGGAAATCACGTGCTGGAAAGCAGTAAAATACTATAACTTCAAAGTTTATCATAACAAAAAGTTCATCATTGGATAACAAATACTAGTGAAAATTTGGAACCACATATACAATAGGAAATAGATTTTAAATTATGGGATGGCCAAACAATGGAACAGTATACAGCCATTTAAATAATTTCTTTAGAGTATTTAAAATACCAGCAGAAAAAAATTATTTTAAGAGATACTGCGAAGAGACAAATTTTACCAATAAAAATGCAAAGAAAAAATTCGAAGTGACAACCTCCTCATTCATACTTATCCAAAGGACAAACATTGTCTCTTACGTCCTCACACAAGCCTATATGACACAAGTACCTCTACTGGTCCCATTGGACAGAAGAGGAAATTGATTTGTCCAATTACCCAAAGGGATCTGCGATTCTCCTGCCTCAGCTTCCCCGAGTATTGGGAATTCAGATGGGATCCTGGTTCTTGACGTTTTTTTTTTTTTTTTTTTTTTTTGCCTGCTCCGGAAGCGCAGCAAGCAGCTCTGGGTGCAGGTCTTGGGCCTTCCAAACGGAAGCACCCGGTCTTCAGGATGCTCCCAGCGCCTTCCTGGGCCCTTAGCCGCCTGGATTCTGGCCCTGGACGCTGGCCCGGGCGGGTGCTGGCCTTGGAGCACAGGGCCTTGCAGGGCTGCAGTGGGCCTTTGCCCATAACTCTGGGGCGGCGGGTTCCAGTCCAGGTCCAGTGGCCCGAGGGATGGCAGGGAGCCTCGAGGCACCAGCCCGCCCAGTTGCTGGTCTTCATCAGAGGGGAGCAGCAACTGAAAAATGTATTAGTCCCAGTGGACTCAAAATGAGTGGCACATCGGGGTCGGGCTCGCCTGGGTGTGGGTGGGGTGTTACAGCGACGTGACAGTCTCTGAAACGGTTTAATCACGTACTTAGTGGGGAGCCAGAGAAAAGGGGGCCGGGATGGGGGCAGCCTTTGCAGACCCTGGAAATCAAACTCATCTTCAGGGAGTCTGAGGCGCCCGATGGGGAAGAACAACTAACTCTTCCAGATCACTGGGGGAGCCCTGCACCCACGCAGCCCGGCAGCGGGGTTTCTAAGAACGAGCCCTTTACACCCCCAGGTCCGCTGAGCCAGACAGATTGGAACCCCCAGACCCGCTCTCTTCTGTGGTCAATAAAAGCTGGGGCTGGGGACAAGGGGATGCCATGGGCACCTTGCGTGCTGTGGCACGTTTGGAAACCCCACTCCGGGGAACCATCGAAGCCTACAGGACTGCATTATTTCCGTGTCTGATGCACTTTTAGGGGTTTGCAAGGTCTCGGAGGCGCGCGCCCCAAGCTGGGTGCCCCGAGCGCGCACGGCCGGCCCGGGCGAGTGGGGGGCTCCCGGGCCCCACGTCCCGGGTCCAGGTCCGCGTCCCAGGCGAGCGCGTGGGGCTCCTTCTGCCCAGTTTCCTGCCTGGGAGTCGCGGCGGGGTCCGCCCCGGCCAGGCCCGGAGCAGTTTGTGCAATTTAGAAACTCGATAGGAGGCAGCAGCTGATCTAGCAGCCTAAAAATAATTCGCTCCGGCCGCACACTGCGTGCTTCGACTAGGGGAAGAAAACTCTCATCGAGTGAGTGAGTCCGTGACTTTGGCATAACTATCATTAAAAAAAGAAATTTTTTAAAAAAGAGTAACAGCTAATTGTTTTTGATCTAATATTTCGGGACCCTTAAGGCGCCCGCGCACCCCACTGGGTACTTGCTCCTCTTAGGATGAGGCCAGAGGGCCCGGCTGGCGGAGGAGAGGGGTGGGGGGCCGGGATCAGGTTTCCAGTTTTCCTTACAAAACTCTGCGGGCTCCTGCTTAAACTAACGGGAAACGGGAAAAGGTGTTACTAATTTTCTCTCTCCTCTGAGACATTTCCTGTATTAGTCACAAAGTAGCTATCTGCTTACTGTTTGTTGCTCTTTGCTTTTTAGGAGTTGTGTGTCCGGGTGTGAAAGTTACATCTTAAGACAGTGTAGAAACTCGGTGTTGGAAGGTAGCACAAGTGTACCCGTAGGGGTTTGAAGCATCGCCAAGCCCAAGGTATTTATTTGTTGATGTTTGCTTTATTTGCTCGATTTTCATTGCATTGTCTAGAGAAATCTTTTTCTGCTGAGCGGTTCTAGTATTTCCTTTGATGTGCAGGAGAACTGCTCAAGCCTGGCAGAATAAAAGGGTGGATACAGACCAGGCAATAAATAAAAAGTCTGCGGTCATTTTTTTGCTGGTAAACTCGATCTATGCCACAGCGAGCTAAGCAGATAAATAGCTAGACAGAGAGCGAGGTAGATGGACATTTTTAGTTCCTGCTTTACAAAACATCCAAAGACTAATTTCAGAGAATTACTGTAGCATTTATTTCTGCAAGTGATCTCTACCTGGAAAGTTCTCAACTTTCCTTTATGTCGTGTTTCTCTCATAATTTGGCTAATCTCCGAATAACTAAAGAATGAATTGTTTGACATGGAAGAACCCAGACTTTCTTAGGGAGTTTAACATGCCTTTTCCCCACCCCAGGTGTTTCTCGCACTTGAAGTTGTCTGAAGTTGCTTTTCTGTCACAAGTGACATTTTGTGTGAAGTGGACAGGAGTCTACTTTCGAAGGATGGATCTGCAAAAATAGTGGTGTACCTGATATACTTTATACTTTTTAGAATGAAGTCAGATAACCGTTCTCTTAGAACTAAGAGCTGCTGGATCAAATATTATATTTATCAACTGAATGCAAATTTTGAAGTCCTAGGGGATATGGAACATCATATGGTGGATTTTAAGGAATGTAAATACCAATGTTGCAATTCTTACTTTTGAATCTTAAGTTGGATCATTAAGATATATTTTTATTTTTACATTTTCTGTTCTGCAGACCATTCTGATCATCAAAGTTTCACTTTGATATTTTTCTTTAAAATTCATCCAGTCGAGTTCTCCATCCCCATCCACTCTCTTATACACCTGACTGTTAGTTATGTTAGTTATGCTTATGGGGAAGAAATGCTGTGTTTCCCCAACTGACACCCCTTGCTTCAACCTCCTTAGTGCTTGGGCCCTGTGCGGCTCAGACAGTTCCGCCAGGGGCGGTCCTGTACAATGTCAGCTGACAGTTCCACTTAAGCTTAACTGGGCTCTGGAGAGGGAACTAAATGAGAGTGAAATTTAAGAATTAGTCAGAAACTTTAATTGAATAAAATGTCTTTCTTTGGTGAATGTGATAGCTGTCAACATTATCTGTGAGAAGTTGATTCTCTCTTTTGTCCATGTTGGGTTGGAAATGGGTCAGCTGTTAGAATGTACCCCAGAAACAGGAGGTTCTGGATAAGGAGGTGAAGGGTCAGGGAGAGAGAATGGGTGGAGCAAAAAATATTTTAAAAGAGCTGTGGTAAGAGGGGGACCAGGGTAGGTTTGAAGTTGAAGATTATGGTAAAAGAAGTGGTTCTAAATCTCTCTCAAGTATGGGCGTACGTTTCCTTGTATCATTTCTGTTAAATGAAGTTGTGTTAAAATTTCATGACTAGAGGTTATTTTTTAATTTCTGATTTTTTCCACCTTTACCAGAAATACCTAGACCTAACGTGCACATATGAATTAATAGCTTCCATTTTAATGTTATTTAAACATCTCAAGTGCCTTTAAATTTTTTAACCCCACTTAGATGTTTAATAGTTGCCAGTGATTTCCTGAATAAATAACTGCATCTTGAGTTTTTAAAAAAATAGATCATTTTTAAAGATCAGAAAAGTTCTCAACTGCAGTACATATCAATGATGTATCAAAAAAGGCTTATCAAAAATGACGTGTGTGTAATTCCATAGAAGCATTTTAGGTTGAAAAAACTGGCTTTTCCTTGGCATACTTCTGTACTGCTTTATAAAACCTTTGCAATGTCACTTCCCCACTAATCTATTTGTGCCACCGTTTTCTGTGTTATATCCTTGGCTTTTTCCTAAGTAAAATATTGTTCATGCCCATTGCTAAATCAATTATCAAGGAACAGAAAGAGAGAAAAGGTATTGTTAGTTAATAACGTTTTGGCCAGCTGTTAAAAATCTAGTTCAGAATCCAGTGTGATATAAATATGGGAAATAAAAGTCTAGTGACGTTAATAGCTTAAACTGCTACTTGTTTTAATAAGAACAGATAAAAATCATTTCTTAAAAAGTCAAACTGGAGCTACATGGTGCAGTGGAAAGAACATAATTTAAAAATCAGATACATGGGTGTGGATCCTAGATTCTCCACTGGTTGGCAAGTTACTGAATCTATCCAAGCCTTGGTATCTTCTGTTTAACTCATCAGAATAACTACCATCCTTACAAGGCTGTTCTGAGGACTTAAGGAAATAGATGCAAAGTGTTCACAGTTCAGTAGGTACCAAGTGAGAGGTAACTGTGATGTCAGAGGTTGTCAAAGTGTTCAAGCTTGCTGGAGTTTCACAGCGGTATCTTGATGGAATAGACCATGGCTCTTCTGCCATCTGTTTGAGCACAGCCAGGAAAGGGGTTCATTTAAATCATGCATGTCTTCCTTGGCTCGCAAACCCCACTCGCCCAGTGGCTCAAGTCCATTTAGAATAGAAGGGAAGGCCCTGAGAATGACCTACAGCAAGCCCTGCGTGATGTTATACCCTGTTTAATTTCTAACCTCATCTGCTTGAACTCTAATGGACTACAGATTTCCAACTTGAAGTTCTTTGTTTCATAATTCCAGTTCAGTGCCTTTCATTTAAGAAGATTTCTGAGGTTGAGATCTGAGTGGTTTCATTAACTTGTCACTTGAGTTCCATTTAATTGGTAGGAAGCCCTTGAGGTTAATATTCCTCTGAGAAAAGCCAATTTGCAGCCATGTTGGTCTCCATATCTAGAAATGTCTAGAAATTTCTATATCTGCAATTTTTTCAGTAAATTTTATCTGGCTAAAGTTGTTAGTTGCATTATTTTCATGGAAGGACCATGGAAAATGATGTTATATTGTATCTTTTTGACTTTTCAATCATTAGTTTTATTTTCACACTTCCTTTTGCTGAATGTCACCATGTTTGTTCTGCAATCTTTTTGATATGCCACCATTTTGTTCTTTGATAGCATTTTAGTCAGACTGGCACTCTTTTGAGAGACCACTTTAGGTAGATAGTCTTGTACAACTTCCAAGTTAAAATATGTGTTTCTAAAGAAGGCTATGTAAAAATGGACCTTTATAGAAGGAATGAAGTCTTTATAAGAAACTTTCAAGTTACTTTGGCATAATTTTCTATTTTTTTCAACTGCAAAAGAAGGGATTAATTTTATGACACAATCCCCCATTTAAAGCCATAAGTTTATGGAAGAGAGTTTAAAAGTAAGCGTTTTCTTTTTTTTTCTGTTTTAGAATAAATCATATGAGAAAAAAATGAGTCTCTCATTTTGTGGTAACAACATCTCTTCATATAATATCTACAATGGCGTGTTACAAAACCCCTGCTTTGTGGATGCCCTTAACTTGGTCCCTCATGTCTTTCTGCTGTTTATCACTTTTCCAATATTGTTTATTGGTAAGTAATTTAATGTCATGTATTATTTCACATATATTATGTCTTGTTAATGGCCGAGACTTGGAATAATATTGCATTCATTTCTCCAACATAAAAGCTAATGCATATGTCTATGAGAAAAGCATAAATGTGTACTTTCTATACACTATTGCAATGATATATTTTTAGCACATGCAGTTCCATACGTTAACTGCAGTCACATGCCTGCTAAGCAGCTGTGGGGTCTTTTTTTTTTTTTTTAAAGAAATAAGTGAACAGTTCCATGAGATAGGTCTATAGCATTTATTGAATACTTACCTTATGAGAAGCGAATGGAAATTGGGTAAGCCAACCACTATTCTTGTCTCCTAGAGTAGTCCAGAGAAGCACCTATGTCAAGAGAAAAGTTAGCCTATTTTTTGGTTTCAGGAACAAATTATCGTAGGCATTAACCCGAGGAAACAAATAACCCTTCTTGAGGCTGGTGAGAAGGATTAAGGACAGTGACATATTAGGGACTAGAAACAGAGTGTGCAGGTGGAAGCAGACATGATGAGCTGTGTTCTAGGTAGGAAGAATACACGTGAAAGCTATTTGCAAAGGAATTAGAAAGTTTCTTCTATTATTTAAACATTTACATATGTACGCAATCTAGTTATTTAGGGTAATTATGTATAATTTGTGGAACTTCCTCCAAACAACCAAAACAGACTCTTGAACTTTTTAAAAGTAGTGAAACATTTTTGCTATAACAATCTACCAAAAAAAGATAATAGTAAGGATAAAAAGAGCTCCTCTGTGTAATATTTTCTGGTCCTGATCTTACTGCTTCACAACAGGTAACCAATATTTTGAATTATTTTGTGTTTAATGTTCCCATGACTGATTTTGCCCATGACAAAAGCAGAAAGGTTATTGGACATATTTTCTTTAAAAAAAAAAACTACCATTATTTAACTATCTCTTTATAATGAATTGAGAGGATAACATGTGTTTGACATTCCAATGCAGATCAAAGAATTTTTGTCATATGATATATACTGAGGTCAACATAACTCTTGGTACATTGTTATTTATGTTAAACAAATGTGTAGGCAATAAATACATTGGGACGGGCGTGCTATATGTTGAAAGCAATAGTCGTTATTTATATAGTACTGTTCATAAAGCATGAAGAAATCCTTTCATAAAACCAGAAGTAGAAAATGGGTATTTTATTAATATTAATTGGAATTCTACAATTAATAATTCCTTTCCAAATATTTCATTGACTCCTTGAGAGCTGGGGCTGTGACATTCTTTTTTATTCCAACGCAGAGGTGGGCCATGGAAATATTTGAATAGGCAGGAGTTGGAGTGGACCCTGGCAGTGGAACATACAGAAAAATACAGTCTGTCATTTAAGGCATGGGTGACTTGAATTGAGGGAGGTGTTATACACATAAATCTCAAAGAACTGTTGGATGCTAGGAAAACTACAGCGTTGCAACAAAAGACACAAAACTTGCCCACAAGAGTTTATAGCATACAGTCTAGTAAAGTATGTTATACATAAGTAACCTTTCAATGATTAAGTACATGTGGAAATAACTAAGCTGGGAAATCACATCACTTTTCAAAGAATCTGCAGGAATTCCTTTTGCCTCCATGGAAACTTTTTCCTGCAATATTTCAAGCACAAATCTCCATCATTGATTCTTGAAGGTGTAGGACTTTGCTAGCATCAGAAAATGAGAAAAAAAGATATAAAAGCAGGATTTTTTTTCTAGAATACTACAAATGATGTTGTTCTACCTATAATTTTGGGACTAAACCATCAAACTTTTACTAAAATGCAACCTCAAAGTTTTTAGAGTTAAGGGCAACATTAGTGTTCTTTAATCTGCTTAAAAGTCTTGTATAAACAAAACCTTAGCTTTCTTGGAGAGAGGTAGAAGTAGGCTTGTCAAATAGTGCTGGAGAGACATTGGTAATCGTTTTTCTCATAGGATACGGATTACGATTCAGATTGACTCCACTACTGAGGCCTATATTTCATCACCAAATACTGTATGCTTTTAGTCCTCCCACAGATTCCATGTCTTCAAAGTCTACACACCAAATTTCTTTTGTGATTATTATTATTTATTTGTTTTCTCTTGAATGAATCAAAAGCTGTAAGAGATTCTGACTAGCATGTGTTACTTTTGAACAATGCAACAAATGCTAATGTGTTAGCCTAAGCAGTGGTGTAAAAATTAATTGAAATTGTTATTTTTTTTAGCATAATGCAAATAGAATACAATTTCCACTGCTACGTTAGGAAGCATTAAGGTTTCCGGAATCTGCCATAAATTTATAATAATGTAAATTATATCCGTGATTAACATTGATCCTTTTATTTAATCTGCTTATTACTTTTTTCCCCCCAGGGTGGGGAAGCCAAAGCTCAAAAGTGCAAATTCATCACAATACCTGGCTTCATTTTCCTGGACATAACCTGAGATGGATTCTTACCTTTGCTCTCCTGTTTGTGCATGTTTGTGAAATAGCGGAAGGGATTGTCTCAGATTCGTAAGTGACTTGATTCACATAACATCGCTGCTGTATACCAGTGGATATATTTAAATGAATAGGAGCTAAGAGGATGCCAATTGAGGCTTCACTGTTGGGGCATTACTAGTTAGTGACAACAGTGTCACTTATTTTATATGATAATTATATGTTTTGTTTGTGTTTTTGTGTTCCCACATAATTTCTCTGATAAATCAAGCTTATATTTCTGTAACTTGTGTCCACTCAGGTACTTTATATTTCTCTGTTCCCAGATCCAGGTAGGCTTTGCAGACTCTGTACTTTTCAACATTTTGATTTTACACTATCTTTAAAAATTGGTACAAATGGAAAGTATGTCTATATTGATATATAGCTCTGTATCTGTGTATTTATACATGAATCAGTTCTTACATGTTTTTGTTTATTTTGTGAAGAAGCAAAGATATGCAGACACTAAAGAAGTATGAGAATGAGCAAAACATGAAATTACTTTAAAATTAGAATTTGTAAAAAAACATAGTATCAAAGGAATTTTCTTCTGCTTATAAAAAGTTTGTGTTAGGTAGTTAGAATGTAATAATTTATAGTATTAAACTTGAGTACAAGCTAGGGAAAGTATTTTTATCACAGAAAATACATTAAAGTAATAGTAAAATTTTGATTATGAGATTGTGCTATAGGATATTCTTTAAAGAACTGACACGTTTTTAGAAAGAAAACTACAATAATAATTTTCTCTTATCTAATAGAACCTCCTCTGACATCTGTTAATGTTTTTCTGTTGCAATTAGCAAGGAATGAATCTTCTACGCTTTGTCACGGAGCCAACTATTTTGTAATATATTATGATGGTTCTTTGCAGATATGTGCATGTCTTAATTTCTGACAAAATGACAAACCAGCAATTCTAGTGTCTATATGACTCAAAGCATTAGAGGCTTAATGGGCTGTTGTCTTATTGATAGCTGTTTAAAACACTTTGGTGTATTTGTGTTAATCGAGCCAGCTCTAGTCTTAATTTTTTTTAACTTCCTTAACCAACTTCCATTTTTTTCTATGAGTATGCATGAAGATCAATCCAGTATTTCTTAAAACTTTGACATTTTTCTATGAGTATGCATGAAGATCGATCCAGTATTTCTTAAAACTTTGACAATACATAGGTTCAGAGTCAGCTGAACTAATAACGATCATGAACTATGCTAAGGGCAGAAAATCACTTTTAGTGGTTGTGGTATCAGAAGCCCATCCTAAAAACAAATAGGCAACACATATCACCTTGATCCTGTGCTACCTCCTCCATTCTTTAGTGGCAGGCTTCTTCTCTTTGCTCTGTTCATCCACACTTCTCAAAAAGTCATCTCTCAGTGACTTCTAAACTCAAACTTTTATTTTGTTCTTTTGTTCTCCATCCTATCATGAGTACAACTTCTATGAGAAACCAAGAGACCATGAATAAAATACCTTAAGGGTACTTTTTGTTCTCATCATAATTTTTATTGTTGACACTGCTGTTTATGCCTCCTTTCTGGTTTTTTAAAAGTGTTTCTCAACTGTACTTAAAATGCTCATCTGACAGTTCATGAAGCAATGCAAAGGCTTTTCTAATTGAACATTTGATTTTTTTACTAACATATTTTACATGCATTTACTTACTAGATGCTTTCCTTTGTATGTTTAGTGAACTCTTCATAATATCCACATCTTGGCTGAAAGCAGCTTCTTCCTCCATTCTGCTCATCCTGTTGAAATCTTAGACAAGCATCCACTCAGGCATCCTAGTTGTATTTTTTTTTCTATCCATCACCATCAACCTCATATACTAACACTATTGAAGTCCTGCCATTGTAACTAACAATTAACCTTTACCAAATATATTATTTCCTCCATGGTACTGCTGTCACAGCTTGAATTAGTCCTTTATCACGAGTTGACCTTATCTATGCTCTTTTGACTACTCTTCCTTTATCCACTTCTTTTTTCCCCATCACTACCCATATATTGTCAACTCCATCTTGTGCATCAGTTCAGAGTGATCTGTTTAAAACACAAATCTGAGCATTACTACTTAGCTATTAAAAATCTATCATTCTCAGGGGCTGGGGGTTTAGCTCAGTGTCATAAATGCCTGCCTTGCAAGTGTGTGGTTGTGAGTTCAATCCCCAGTACCGATTAAAAAAAAATCTATCATTCTCTGCATAGAGTTGCCAGCCCCTTTCCATGACTAGAAAGCCTCTCATGATACATCTTACCTTAGACATTTTATTCCAAGGATATTATATCACTTAGGACTTTGAACATTACTTCATGGTTCTATCTATTTGCACATTCTGCTTCCTCTTTTAAGAACTTTTCCACTGCTTTCCTGACTGGGGCCTTTTGTTTCATGTGTCAGTCCCCACTGTGCATCGTACCTCTTTCAAATGATTTCCTCAAATGCTTCCTTGCCCCTCGCTTTGTTCTTTGTATCAGTGTTTTACTAACATATTTAAGTAATTTGAGAAGAGTTAAGTGTTCTGCTCTGTGGCGTTGTTAATGCAGGTGGAGTGCAGATAAGAGCTGTCTACCAGGCACATCGGGTCCTGTTCCGTCTTCCATCTGCCTGGAGCTCTGTATCACCATGAGAAATGAAACCTCATTTTTTGTGGTTACTGTGTACTGAATTGCTTGCATTACCCTAGATCACATCTGGACCTTCTGCCTGAAGCAGTCTTTCTCCTTTGTTCTATAGGATTCTCCTTATTCTTAATGTCTCAGTTTACAAGCCACTTCCTCCACAAATCTTTCTCTGTCCCTAGCTGCCACCTTGTATGGTCAGAGTCTCTCTGCTTGTATTATAATTTCCTATTTATTATTGCTGTTTAGTTTTCCAGTTCTGGGACTAGAACCCCAGGGTGTGGTACAGTGGAGCTACAAGCCTCAGCCCTGTTTATGTTCTGAGACAGAGTTTTGCTAAGTAATCCAGGCTGCTCTCAAACTTGAGATCCTCCTGCCTTCCTCCTGCCTTGCTGAGTAGGTGAGATTACAGGGCTGGGCCACCACATCTGTCTCCTATGTGCTATTGGTACCTTCAAAATACCCTGGAATTTGTGAACACAGATGCAGCATTTTATTTTGTTTATCATTGCTTCCCCGAATCTACTAGCATGTAGACCAGCAAACACACATGTGGAATGAACTAGTAAGAATGGAAAAATCGCTGAAGATAGTGAACTTTAGGGATGCTGTCAAAGTAATAAACATAATTGTCACATACGTTAGAGTTTAAATTAACTTGGTGATTTTTACTTGCTTTAATCATTAAGTCAGCAGTGCAGCTTTGGCCTGGCAAGTGCAAGGTCCCAGGTTTGATTTCTGGTATCAAATGAAACAAAACAAAACATTAAATTATTTAACCATTTGTTACTCAGACGGCGGGAGTCCAGGCATCTACATCTCTTCATGCCGGCTGTCATGGGATTTGTTGCCACTACAACATCCATAGTATATTATCATAATATTGAGACATCAAATTTCCCTAAACTACTTTTAGGTAAGTATGGTAAAGGTTGTTCTTTACTCTTCTTAAAAGAACTACTTGCAGGGCTGGGGATTTAGCTCAGCGGCATAAGCGCCTGCCTTGCAAGCAGGCAGTCGTGAGTTTGATCCCTGGTACCAATAAAAAGGAAAAAGACAAAAAAAAAAAAAAAAAAAAAGAACTACTTGCTTTTCTTTTTCCACATAGCAAACGTAACATTAATGTGTGTGGATAGTGGGAAGCACAGGAAACGTGTCAGTAATTAATTCTTTAGTTGCCCAATAAATGTGGGGTTGAAGATAAACTGAGATGCCTATAGCAGCACCACCCTCACTTAACATGATTACGTACTCCATAGATTTTGGGTGTATTTTTATAATTTCCAATATCAATCTTTTTCTAAAATCAAGTAATCTAAAGTGACTGATAGTATTCAGATCCTCTAAGTCTTCATGAGGCATATGCATCTTGTTGATTGTTGTGTCTTTCTGAAAAACAGACTATCAATATTAAAGACATTTTTTTATTTCTGATAATATCATGTGCCTTGAAATCCACTTTGGTTGATTATGATATATCAGAATTTATATGCTCTGGTTTGCTTATGCTTATTGTTTTTATTTAAAATCCTTTTTCATTACTTTCAATCTAGTGTTTCTAATATTTAAAGTTAATGTCTTTAGGTAGCATATCATTTGGTTTGTTTTTGCTAAGCCCATTCTGATTGTTTCTACATTTTAAGCTGACATGAGATGTGTGTAAATTCATATGCCAGTGTTGAGTTATTTTTCACTCAGAAAGTTGTGATCACCCTTGACTTTTCTGACTTTGATAAGCCTTATCCAGAATGGATTTCCTTGTATGTGTTTTAGAGTTCTTCTTTATCTCACATTCATTTGTGTGGGTTTTTATTTAAAGTTCAAAGAAGGTAGAATTCTTGCCAACAAATTTATTGGAATGTATCTGTTTCCAGCTCTTGTTTGTTGTTAAGTTGCTGGCGGTGGTTGTGAGACAGTGTTTCTGCTTTTTTGGCTGAACAATTTGAGGTCTGGGTTTGCTCTGTAACATTATTGTTCTTTTCTGGGCTCTGCAGATGAGTGTGGGGTTTACAGCTACTTGAGTTTAAAGAGTCATTTATTATGTGAATGCCTGTCTGTAATGCAGAAACCCTATTGCATAGCTACGTTAATTCTACCATAATTCCAAAGATAGAACATTAAACAAAACCCTGGGAACCGCAACACACTTATCTGTTGGATATGTTATACAGATACAAACTTGTGAATTTTTCATATAATTGGTGCTCTTAAAAAACAAGACCAGAGATAAAGGGACTTTTATCCACAGGATTACACACAAATTCTGAAGAGTGAGGATAAAGCCTTTTACATGACTCCTTATAGATTCCCAGGTATCACAAAGGATCAGTGTAGAGACATTCCAAATTTTAAAGTGATTATCATGCCTTCATGGTTTGGAAGAATTAATACTATTAAAGTGTCCATAATACTCAGTGTAATTTACTGATTCATTGAACTATTCATCAAAATACCAGTGGCATTCTTTACAGAGTTATCTAGAATTTATACAGAAGCATGAAGATGCCAATGGTCTTGAGCAAAAAGAACAAAGAGGAAAACATTATATTATCTGACTTATTAGTAAACAACTACAAAGTTGTCACGCTCAAAACTGTATAGTATTGGGATGAAAAACAAACACACAGACTGATGCTCCTGAATGCTGAGGCCAGGAATAATTCCATGTGTTTAAAGTAGCTGACTTGTGACAAAGTCAAAAATATCTGCTAAAGAGAAAACAGCCTTTTCAATAAATGGTGCTTGAAAAATGGGAAATTCACATGCAGAAAGTGAAACCTTGACCCTTATCTCTTACCCTATCTCATAATATTCCATTCAAACCTCCAGAAGCATGCTAAAACATGTGTTTTGTTTTCTTATCAATAAGTTTATACACAGAATATTTAACTTGCCTTTGTTATTAAAAAGCATTGTATTTATATTGAAATATTAGTGAGTTTTAAAGAATAACAGGTAAAGATTGCATCTTTTGCTTTTTTCTTCTATTTTTGCAGCCTTATTCCTGTATTGGGTAATGGCTTTTATAACGAAAACAATAAAACTGGTCAAATACTGGCAGTTGGGATTGGGAGTGTCAGACCTGCGATTCTGCATCACAGGCATGATGGTGATCTTGAATGGGCTCCTGATGGCTGTGGAGATCAATGTCATTCGGGTCAGAGTAAGTCGTAATAGTAGAACTGCTATTCAGGACCTCAGCATTAAAGATTGTAATTAGCCAAGAATTAGTAATATTTAAGGTGATGAATTGTAATATTCATAATTGTAATATTATGATATGATAATATTCACAAGTATGATAATGATAGTATGATAATATTCACAAGACTCATGTTTTGTCTATAGTTACAAATCTGTTATACTGTGCACCTCATATTGCTGTCAGTTATGTTATATAAGACACTATCCAGTATTTTCAGTATTCACTTTGTATCAGAGAACTGGGAATTTGCTCTAAGAATGGAAAGATACCATACTGCAATGAATGGGCTGAACAGTAAGTGAACATTAATCAAACTACAAATCAACAGTGACTAGGTTCCTAACACATTTTGAAATCTCAATAATATAGAAGACTTCACTGATGACCTTATTGGCATAATGACAAGCATCTTCTTTTAAAAGGCTAGTGGACTTTTTAGAATTGGCCCCAAGGCGTTTCAATGTATAATTTTGCCATTTAGTTAATCTAACGAAAGAGAAGTATTTCAAAGAAAATTTCAGAAAGGGTTAGAGAAACTATACAAAATGTTGGAGTTATATTTTTAACATGTGGAGGAAGAACAGGACTAATTCTAGCTCTCTGGAATTCTTTGTGCCGTAGAGATATGTGTTCTTCATGAATCCTCAGAAAGTAAAGCCTCCTGAAGACCTCCAGGATCTGGGTGTGAGATTCCTTCAACCATTTGTCAACTTACTGTCAAAAGCAACATACTGGTGGATGAACACCCTTATCATTTCTGCTCATAGGAAGCCTATTGATCTGAAGGCAATTGGAAAATTGCCCATAGCAATGAGGGCAGTGACAAATTATGTTTGCCTGAAAGATGCATATGAAGAACAAAAGGTAATTTAGCATCTGTCTTCCATGAGTATATTTGTAGAAAATGGGCTTATTTAAATATAAAAAGTACAAAGTTTTAATAATATCTATGATAAAAGAAGAGCAATTTTTCTCTTTGGTACTGAGGATTGAACTCATGACCTCACACTTGCTAGGATAGCACTTATGCCACAAAGCTAAACCCCTGGCCTTTCTCCATCTGTGTTAACCAGTAGTTTTAAGTCATGTCACCTGATCACCAAGGAAAGACTGGAAGAGATTATGAAGTATAGTCACCTTGCATAAGTTGTCCAGTCACCACCTGAGGGGTCTGGGGAGTGCCCACTCATATATCTGGGACAAGTGACCAAGTGAAAACTAAAAACAAAGTCCAATGATCTTATATCATTCACTCATATTGCCACCTAATATTGATAATTCAGGGAATTTTACTGTCTTTATTTCAAGCAGCTTGTGAATAATTTATATTTATAGGTAAAGCAGATCATATTTGCCAATAACAGTGTTTAAGAAATTAAAATTCTTAGACTAATTATTAACCAAAATTGGCACTTGATTCAATTAAGGGGGTACCATCTCCCTACTCCGTGTATTATCCTATAGGTCTTCTAAAATTAATTTCTTCTGGTGTTCCCTTGAATTTTAATAATTCCTTTACCAATTTTAAAGCTGAGTATTTGAGTGTTTTCAGTTGTCATTCTGAAGTCATACGTGATACCCATAGTGGTAGGTGTGCTTTTGATTGTAATCATCTGCAGATATCAGGATCACTTAATATGTTGGTCTTCACAATAACACTAGAAGCGAATAAAGTATGGTAACTCAGTTAAAGGTATTTTGGCTGTTCTAAATCAAGATTAACAAAACATTTACGGTAAATGGCAGAAATGACTTCTTGTTTCAGAAATCTGTGTTATGAAATTCCTGTTGCAGGAAATGGTTACTACGAGAACCTGAGTCATTTCTCTGGCTTTACCCCTGGGAAAAGTATTGCATTTGAAACTTCTCTGCTCAAGTAGAGATTTACAATATAGAGTAAAAATAGCTTATATTCTGTGAATGTTCTTTAAAACATCGTGGTTGAGAGCACATTGTGAGCTTTGTATGTTAATGTCGTATCAATAAACTTTAAAAGAATAATCAAATTATTCATTCTAATTGAGAGTTGAATATGGAACACAAGTGAAGTCCATTCCGTTGAGTTGGTTACTTTGCCACAATGAAAAATTTATATTCACTTTGAGCCCAAGACATATTTATAAAGTGTGTTCAGGTCTTAAAATCTTTACTACCAAGAAATATAAAATGTAAAGTAATGAACTACTTAATCATATATGCCACTCCTCATTTTGCATTTCTTTAAGGGATTCCTAGCAAATAAAAGCACCGTAATTTTTTTAAAAGTACCAAATACCTTTCGTGAAGATGGGGAAAACATGGGCTAGAAACAATTTGAGACTGAGACAATCTGTTTTAGCTTACAGTAATATGATGGGTAAATTTCTTCTGTTCTAGGAACTACATATTTTCAGCAGTCTATCAATAACCTTCATCTTCTACTTTAATGTTCTCTTACACATAAAACGTTGTTTGGTAATATTCATGATGATATATATCTTCAAAATCATAGGTAATTAATGAAGTTGGCCTTAAGAATTTCTTGTCATCCCTCAACAGCTAATAATAATGCAGTCTTAGAAAACACAGCCTGTATACTTTTTACTGTTTTTTACAATGTATACAATAGCTACTACTCACATAGATTGAAAGATACAGAATTATTCTTGCTATATTTAAATTTATACATCTACTTTTTAGCCTTTAAAATGTCTTCAGGACTATCAGAAGGAAGTTGAGATTACTTGCTGTTTTGGACAGTTTTATTTTGGTGTCTTTGGTTTTTCTTTCAGAAAAAAGTAGCCGATCATCCCAATCGAACTCCATCTATATGGCTTGCGATGTACAGAGCTTTTGGGAGACCAATTTTACTGAGCAGCACGTTTCGCTACTTAGCCGACTTGCTGGGTTTTGCTGGACCATTGTGTATTTCTGGAATAGTTCAACGTGTGAATGAAACCCAGAACGGGACAAATAACACAACAGGAGTAAGTTCATGATGCTTTTGAAAAGAAAACATATTATTAGCAGATTTTGTTGTAATTGTCACTTTTTACTAACATAGTTTTATGAGTAATTTGAACAAGTTTATTCATATAAAATTAAAATTTAAAAAGTAATGTTCTTTGTGGAATAGTTTGTGTCTATTATATTCATTGAACTATCTGGTTAATGAAATTATTTCTCAGATTCAGAGCTTATAAATATTTAATAAGCATTATTGTGTGCCAGAAACCACATGCATCAATTTCTCATTGATTGCTTTGTTTGAACTTTACAGTAATCCTTTCAGCAGTTTCCATGCATGCGTACTCCAGAGGTGGCTGTGTCACTTTTTTAAAGGCTTGTGACCAATAACACTAATAATGTGGTTTATAGTGTTATACATTTTTCTGATACGTTAAAAGCCATCACCCTGTTCGACAATGATTGGAGGAAATCTTGTGATGCTTGATTAGATATTATGTTATTATATGGAGGGATAGGTAATAAAAATCACTGTACATTTGCTATTACAACTACAGAATGGTTTTGTTTTCTGCTCTTAAGAAAGCCTGTACTCTGCATTTTCTAGATTTTCTTTTTCCCTAAGATGACTTAATTTCTCTAGTTCCATAAACAGAGTCTATTCCAAGTGGATCGACTTTTCTGTTTTCTCACTCTGATTTATGGTCCCTTTTTCTGCACCAATTAGAATTTTATGCACTGTCAAAGCCTACATTAAATTCTGCCTCACCGCTGAGGCTTTTTGTGGTCATTCTCGTTGAAGCCTGCCTCCTTTAGAACTTCCCTAATGCTTTTTTCCACTTTATCTCGGCCCTTACTGTTTATGCCTTTCACGGTGAAGCATGCTGGGTATGATTTTAAAAATATGGTGAACGTTTACATTTTTAAAAACGTATTACAATGAAAGACATGTTATCATTAATCCCCTTCAGAATACCTCGCCTTGCTTCAGACACATCCATCTCATTGTTCATGTCACTTTCTGAGCCACTTCTGGAAGTCCCCTTTTGTCATTAGTTGTACTGGTTGATCCACTAGACACTTTTACCTTTCATGGTTAGTTTGATAATGAGATACACGTGTTTGAAGTCATGGGGCAGTATTTTGAGGGGCAGTGTGTTTTGTGCTGTAACACATTTATTTAAATTTAAACATTGTATATTTCTCTCATTCCATGTGTTACTTACTGATACACTTAACACTCTAGGTTGTAATCTCTATAAACAGAATAAGTGAACTGTTTAAGTTTCATTCCCACAATATTTACCCCAGCTGTTTGCATACATTAACATTTAATTATTATTAATGTGAATCATGCTTTCACCATCAGGTATACTTCTGTGCTGTTTTGTTTTTACTCACCTCATACATGCAAATACCTAAATTTCATATAGCACATTTACCACCTTCATCCCTTACATATATTGATCATGTGATTTTCTGAGATGGGACAGGACTTGTAGATTTGTGTGCTTTCCCAGGACAGATGAGGAAGAGGCCAGAAGGTCACTAGGTCTCAGTCATTACAAATGATGTGACTTCATTGCTATAATCAAGTGTTACCTATATTTTTTTAACAAACAGGTTACTGTATGCTATCATTGCAAACAAAATTTAATAAATTGTGTGTATTCATATGATATCTGTTTTTCAACAAATAACTCAAATCTATTCTTTTTAATGGCAGAGTAGTATATGCCTTGTGTATTTATATTACATTTCTTTATGAATTTGTTCATGAATATATATGCATTTTCCAAGACTTAGCTACTTTTAGTTGCATACTTATAAACGTGGGGTCTTTGTTACTTTTCTCTTGATGCTGGGACAAAATACCTTACACCCAAAGTTAAGGAAAGAAGGGTTTATTTAGCTTATAGTTTGTGGAGGTTTCAGTCCATAATCAGCTGACTCCAAGGCACAGTGGTGTGGCACAGGGACAACACTTTACAGCAGCAGAAGATAACAAAGTAACAAGAGAAAAGTGGGGGGATTACCCTCTTTTCCTCCCTTATATTCTACATGGGTCATGCTCACCTCCTGAGGGGGTGTAGCACTCACAAAATCTCCTTGTCCTCCTCCAGCAGAGGATGAGGTTGTTTACAAAGTAAGGACTCTGACTTCCTGTGGAGTCCCTTAATTAAACTAAACTTCTCAAGTTGACACAGTGTATCAAGCATGACACATGGGTATGTATGTATCACTGTGATAGAATGTCTAATTCTTTAGGTAAACTACCTAGAAGGGAAATGGCTGCGTGGAAGGCAGTTTCCCCTTTTAGTGTTTTGAGAAATTTCCTTACTGATTTCCATAGTGGTTGTACTAACTTACTTTCCCACCAGCAGTGTAGATGGGTCCTTCTCCCACATAGCCTCGCCAGCATTTGTTACTATTTGATTTCTTGATGATGCCCATTCTTTTTGGGGTAAAATAAATCGCTAAGTTGTTTTAACTTGCATTTCTCTAGTGGGCTAGAGATGCTAAACAATTTTTAATGTATTTGATTATTTGTACTTCTTTTGAGAAATGCCTATTTATTTCAATTGTCCATGTTTTGATTTGGCTTTTATTTGGGGAAGTCTACCTTTTTTAGTCCATTACTTTAGACATTAGTATCTTTTTGAGAAGTATCTGGAAAAGCTCTTTCCAAGTTTATAGCTCATCTTTTTTTTTTTCTGGGTAGAAGCTTTTTAATTTCATGTAGTTTCATTTATTGATTCTTAATGTTACTTCTTTTGCAGTTGGGGTTCTGTTGGGGTTCTTACCTATGTTAGTGTGTTCTGTTTTATCTTCCAGTAGGTTATGTCATTTGTAATATCTAGGACTTTTATTCATTTCTATTTTATTTTAGTACATAGTGTCGTATATGGGTCTACATGTAATTTTCTACTTGTGTGAAAGCAGTTGTTTTCCCAGCACTATTTGTTAAAGACTCTACCTCTTCTCCAGTGTGTGTTTTCTACTCCTTTGTCAAAGATCAAATGGCTTTGTATTCCTAGGGTTTCTAGACGCTCTGTTCTGTTCCATGATACCATATGTACCATGCTTATTTGTCATTGTGGCTTTGTATTATAACTTGAAACACAGGATTTTGCTAACTCTTACTTTGTTCCTGTTGCCCTGGATTGCTTTTGCTATTTTGAGTCTATTCTGCTTTCATATAAATTATATGTAAATATTTTTTATTACCATGAGATATGCTGTTGGTATTTTTATTTGGACTACATTAAATATGTGTATCAGTTTTCATTGTATGATCGTTTTGAATATATTGTTTCTGCCTATAGAAGAAATAGGGATATCTTTCCATTTTCTGATATCTCTTTTGATCTCCTTTTTCACAAACTGTAGTTTTTATTGTAGAGGTCTTTCATGTCCTTGGTCAGCTTAATTCCTAAACATTCCTAAGCATTTATTTTTTTCATGAGACTATTGTGAATGGTATTTTCCCCTAAATTTCTTCTCAGTGCATTTATTATTGGTGTAGAGGAACATATATGATTTTTGTATGTTGATTTTGTATATTGCTGTATTGCTGAATTCAGTTATTAATTTTAGCAATCTTGGGGGCTGGGGATTTAGCTCAGCGGCATAAGCGCCTGCCTTGCAAGCAGGCAGTCGTGAGTTTGATCCCTGGTACCGATAAAAATGAAAAAGACAAAAAAAAAATTTTAGCAATCTTTTGATGGGACTTTTGAATGTTGTATGTGAAGGGTCAAGTTATCTGTAAATAATAATAGTTTGACTTCTAGAATAATTTTTCATAAATTGGGTTTTTTCTCTGCAAATGTCATGTTTTTGAAATCAACATGTAGTCAAATGGCCTATTTTATAATACATAATTTCATTAATATAAAAATATGTTAAAATGTGAAAGAAATGCATAGAATTAATGAAAGTAATAAAGATGCCGAAATAAGATTCTTTCCTCCATTGGTCTGGCTGACCAGGTATGTATTACTGTGGTTTTTACTTTCAAATTAGAGTCTAAATTAATTTTTGTCTTTCCCCTAGTTTCTTATTTAATATAGAATGTATCTTTGCAAGGAACACACCTACAGATTTAAAATTAAAGGCTACCGTTCTATAGTTAGACGTGTCTAGCAATGATAATCATGAATTAAGCATTTTATGCACTGAACTAAACGCCTACATTTGTGGGCATAATGGAGATCAGGTAAAGTTGCCTTTGTGTGGCCCATTCCACAGCTGGTCAGTGTAAGGTCACTGAAATTTTATGTTTAAAAATCATATATGCTTTAAGAAATGCAAACTGTATACTTAGTAGATGAAGTGAGTAGTTTACTTTTGTGTTTTTTTGTTTTGTTTTGTTTTGTCTTTCTGGTACAAGCGTCCAGAAACCCTCTCATCAAAAGAATTTCTGGAAAATGCTTATGTTCTGGCCGTTCTTCTCTTCTTGGCCCTTATCCTGCAGAGGACATTTTTGCAAGCTTCCTACTATGTAACCATAGAGACTGGCATTAACCTCCGTGGAGCGCTTCTGGTATGTACCATCTAGTGGCACAAGCAGGAGTGGCTTTATATTTTTTGCATTTAACTTTCACTTTGATACTACACAACATTTTAAGATCTATTTAATGAAAGAACAACAGAACTCATTCACGAGCCCACTGAGGTAAAAATGACTTAAAATCACATAGTAAGACAGATATTTAGAAGTCTTGCAATTGCTTATTCCTATTTCTATTGTTCTTGAACTTATGTCCAAAGTTGAATATATGTTGTCTCACTAATGTGAGAAGCTCAATGAGTAAATAAGATACAAACTGTACAATAGATACTAAAAATTAGGAATAAACTGTTCAAAAGGAAAGAAACTATGATGAGAGAAAGGAAGGAAGGGAAAAGGGGAAAATATATATATAATACACACACACACACACACACACACACACACACACAAGATAGTTGAGAGCTATATTGCTACTTTCTCTTAGTTCCTTGAAAAGAAAGATTTGTGCTAATGTTCCCTGGACAATATCTCATGCCTGTTTCTTGTAATCTGAATAAGTACTTTAAAGCTAACAGTATACAATGTATTAATTATTTCTACTCTCCCATTACCTTGTTTTCAAATTGTTTTATTTCTCTTTAAAGAATAAAAGAAAAGTTTGTATTCAACTGAGGATAAAGAGTAACTGTGCTAAAATAGGAATAGTGGTTGATTTAACATGCCCATGAAGGTCTTTTTCCCATTTTTTTTCAAAAAATTTTAAGATATATTTGTTATTTTTTTCAATGAAAGTAAATCGGGCCAGGGATTTAGCTCAATGGTGCAAGCTCCTGCCTGGCAAGTATGAGGTCTTGAGTTCAATCCATGGTACAAAAACAGTTGTTCAATGAAAGTAAATAATGATAATGTTGTAAATTTAGAGTTTTATGTGTATTTTTTTTCTTCTTGTAGGCTATGATATACAATAAAATCCTTAGGCTGTCAACGTCTAACTTATCTATGGGTGAGATGACCCTGGGACAGATCAACAACTTGGTTGCCATCGAAACCAATCAACTCATGTGGTTCTTATTCCTGTGTCCCAACCTATGGGCTATGCCTGTTCAGGTAGATTGTTACAAGTAAAGTTCTGTTTGGTGGAGCAAATAAAACAAAAAGAACACCAGATATTTAACTAGGAAGGAGTTTTGAATATGCTGATGTTATTAAACCTTTTTTAGACAAGGAAGCTGAGACCCAGAAGCATTACACCCTGCTTTAAGAAAGGGGAATTTGGAATTATACAGCTTGGATTTATATATCTGTGCCACCCATTGTCTGTACAAGTGCTAAATCCCTCAAAGTATTACTTCTCTTCACTGTGTAATGGGTATGATAGGATAAAATTGCCTCATAGAGTTTGAGATTGTTTGAGTAAGGCAGTGTGTATAATGCAACAGTGCCTACTGTTTCATGGCTAAAAATTAACTGTTGTGCTAAAAATTTCATACAAGTCACAAAGCTAAGAGTTGACTCTTCATTTTGACAAATTCTTTTGTAGCATTTCTAAAAGATAGCAACTTCTTTAATCCATTCCAAAGTTCCAATAGCTACTATATTATAAAATATAATCTTTCTAAGGGGGTACAGTCACAGACAAGCTGAAAGGCTCCTTAACTATCTCCTAGAATTTCAGTAATGATATGTAGTATTTCAGCCAATTGGGTTAAAAATGGCAAAAGAAATGTATTCAGTTTTTTCTTTACTGTCATATTGTATACTTTCAATTTCCTTGAGTTTTTCATCCTGTAGGTGGAGCTTAAATTGTAGATCTCATCTGATGCAGTCTCTTACATTTCCTTGTGTTTTGCATTTGATATAAAACATAAAATAATAACAAAATAATAAAAACGTGTACTTGATTTTAGATTTACTATTGTATTTTTGTGTTTTAGTGAAACACCAAATCTAATTAAAAAGGTGTATCATACCTAATGCACAGTACAAAAAATAAAGATATAGTTTGTCTCATTTTATCAGAATGTGCTTATATATAGCATCTCAATCAAGTAGCTGCCTGTGTAGAATGATCTAGAGTGTGCCAAAAATCAAAGTTTGCACCAAATGCTGCATCATAGGTGACTGGAGGGAATGTTTGATTGTGATTGGAATTCCTCAAAGATTTGACTGCCTGGAAGTACATGTGTCATTTTCATCAGAAAGCTGTTATTATCGGCATGTAGGCATGGATTATATGCTTGAATTGCATGGTTGTGTTGCGTTACGTGACATTAGGAGCTGTGATAAACTGAGCTCCTGGAGAAAAAGGAAAGAGGATAGGGCCTTGGATCTCAAGAATTTAAAGGAGGAAGAAATAGGCAAAGCAGAGAGAAGTTGGGCATAAATAGTTCCTGACTGAGTTTGGGAAACATTTGAAATGGGAAGTGAGATAAGAGGGTACTGCAGTAACAACTTGGGTTCATTAACAGTTTTAATTAGTCTGAGTTGTCGTGTCATCAGGAAACTTTTGGAGTCATGAAGCCAGTGAATGATTTTGGTCCATAAAAAGTGATACTGTGCCTTCTGGTATCAGGGATAAAATTCACAACCCACACTCGGCAGGCAGGCGCTTATGTCCCCTGCCCCAAAGACACATGCACACACAAAAAGATCCTGTCCTCCTCTATAATGCTGCTCTCCACTTTCCATTCCCATAGCTTTGAAAAGCTAGTGTAATTCCAAGAGAATGTGGAATATTAAATCTGTGGTGGGTGACACTATTCTTAAAACAATTTTGTGTGTGTGTGTGTGTGTGTGTGTGTGTGTGTGTGTCCTTTAAAAAATTTAAGATTGCTTTATAAGGTCAAAAGCATCATGGGACCACTCTGCAAATTCATGTAATAAATTGGCTTGACACCAGTTGAACAAGTCATTATACCAAAAATAAATTGTTAGCTGTCCCCAAATAAATCACATTAAAATTCAACTGTCACAGTTGAATTGATTTCCAAATAAACTTAATGTAATGATTAAATTATCACACTTTCACTAAAAATTTTCCTTTTGTGCAATGGTTCCTGCAGCCCCATTTATTTCCCATTTTTCACATGTTTGCCTTCCCAGATCATCATGGGGGTGATTCTGCTCTATAATTTACTTGGATCAAGTGCATTGGTGGGTGCAGCTGTGATTGTGTTACTGGCGCCAATTCAGTACTTCATCGCTACGAAGTTGGCAGAAGCTCAAAAGAGCACTCTTGTAAGTAGCATCTTTTAGAAAATTTATTAGGAAAATCCTGCCCTGCTGATTTATTTTTATAATATAGGAAGTTCATACATGCCGCTCAAGAGAATTTTGAATTCGTTATATCCCATTGCAATCGTTAGGCAGCAAATGTGTGTTTTTGTGTTGCAAAAACCATTTCATTTTTGGTACTAGGGATTGAACTAGTGCATGCTATCATGTTAGGTATGGCCCCAGTCCCTTTTTTAGGATTTTTAAACAATAAGGTCTTACTAAATTGTCCAGGCTAGGTTTGAACTTGTAAATCCTCTTTCTTTAGCCTTTCAGGCAGCTAGGATTACAGGCATAGGACACCATGCCCAGCCGCAGAAACAAGTTTTACAAGTGGAATAAAAATTTAAGACTTGATGATTTAGATTCAAAATTGCAAACTCCTGGTTCTTGATGTTTTTTAAGTGCCAAGAGGTGATGTAGTTTTGGATCCTCCTCTCTGATCTCTGGTTCAAAAAGTACTCTTCAGTGTACATTGAGGCCATTAGGTGTCGGTCATTGACGTGGAAGACGTAGATCCAGGGACAAGTAAAGGGTCAAGTTCAGTGGCTCTGAAATTTAACTTCTTTTGGGTGGACTCTAACAATATGAGGCGTGGAGTTACATGGAAATACTTTAGTGGCAGCTGCTGTGGATGGATATGTTCATGGTCAACTTAGCAAGCAAGAAAAAGTTCCATTATTGACCCTTTCTGGCTTTAATTTTCCATGAAGGCTTCTTACTTGAGCAAGAGTTGGCTGCTTTTAAAGAAATATTTGCAAATAATAAAATTGTTGACAGCATGTTTAGAAATAAAGTTTGATTAAATATGAACTAGATCGTCTGTAAGTCAAGCATAAAATGTAGGCATGCTACTGCTGGTGGAATTGTTTCTCACACTATTTCTACTGTGAAAAGCAAGTCGTATATCATGTAAGTGGTTCTTTATCACTTGTTTTCTTTCTACTTCTGGTGAAATTACTCATTATTTCTGTTTGACCCAATCACCCTTTTTACTCCACCATACAAATACAGAAAGAGTGGAAGAGGAACATAAATGGAAATATGACCATCCTCAAGTATCTATCTTTTGTTTAGCTGTTCATCCATTCATTTTTTGAATCATTATTTGATAGGCATTTAAGACCCTGTAAAATAAAAATGATGAACAAAATACATTCCACTGGCTACTTTTGCTTTTTCCTATCTCTATTTTAACAACTCTTATATCCCTTTTGATAGTTAATAGTCCATATTGTACCTGGCTGATAATTTTGGTACATCGTTTGGCTATAGAGGAAGATAAAAAGCTGATTAGATGTAGGCATTTGTATCTGCTACAGATCTTTTTATAATTAATCCAAGCTAGTATCCAGTAAACCTAGGTTAAGTATTAAAAAATAAGAGCTTAGAAAGAAGTATACAGAAATCTCATGAAATTAAAGATAATAACTTTAGTTTCGATACTTGTATTGTGCAAACACAATGAGAATACAGAAACTATTGTACCCTAATAATTATATTATATTAATTATATTTTTATAATTAATCCAAGTTGTTAGATCAGTAAATCTAAGTATTAAAAAATAAGAGCTTAGAAAGAAGTATATAGAAATCTCAAGAAATTAAAGATAATAACTTTAGTTTTGATACTTGAATCAGGAAACACAATGTGAATGCATAAAATATTGTACCCTAATAAGATAAGAAACAATTTCTTCTTAAATTCATTGTTTTTCTTCTTTTAAATATGAATGATAGTGCTGAAGGGCAAATAAAATAATATAGACATTAGGAGCTGTTTTCTCTTTGTTATTTCTTGAGATCCGTGTCTACATTATCTGCAGATATTATTCCACAAAATCATGTGAAACTGAAGAAGCTATTTTTATATAAACACAAGTAAAAAAATAGGATATTTTTTAGTAGAGAAAAGTTCTAAGGTCATGTCTTTAAATTCATCGTTTTAAAACTGGGGCATCGAAACACAGTGAATTTAACTACTTGTAAGAATTGGAAAGCCTGACTAGTGGCAGGGTCAGTTAGAAATCGAAATCTTCTCAGTCCCTGTCCATTCCTTTGCCCTACCTTTCGGGTTCACACAGACAAAGCTTGTACTGTCTTTTATTCTTTTGTTTTATAGGATTATTCCACTGAAAGACTGAAGAAAACAAATGAAATATTGAAAGGCATCAAACTTCTAAAGTTATATGCCTGGGAGCATATTTTCTGCAAAAGCGTGGAAGAAACAAGAATGAAAGAATTATCAAGTCTCAAATCTTTTGCACTTTATACATCGCTCTCCAGTAAGTTGCTGTTGCCCTCAGAACGGGTGATGCTAGGAGTCATCAACTACCAGTATGGATTAGTTCTATTCAGTTTGGATTATGATCAGAGATACGCTCTAGTCAGCAAAGGAACCGTGTTATCTAGGTGTATGCGTGTGGTAGTCTCAAGCCACAGGCAACGATTTACATTTAAATTAAAGACTATGGTAGGTATAGGTTTAGCATCAAATAGACCTGAATTTGATGCCTTGCAAATTGTGTGTCCTTGGCAATGTTCTTTTACAAAACAAAACCTTAGTTTCTTTATTTGTAGCATGAAGATGGTAATAATATTTGTAATTTAATGGAAATATTTTGTCAGTTACTACTAGGATGATATAATTGGTTTCCTCCCTCTATATAAATTCAGGTGACAAATACATATGATTTTTTTTTACCAGGGAGACATTTTCTCCATTATCTTCTAGTTCTTCATCCTTCTCTGCTTCCTTCCTTCCCTTCCTTGTTTCCTCCCTTCCTTTCATCATGCATGACCTTCACACTTAGCCACATCCCCAGATCACTTTTTAAATTATTTTTAATTTTGAGACAGTGTCTTGCTGAGTGATTCAGTTGCCCAGAGTGAACTTAAATTTGGAATCTGTTATAACTTGAGCCCCGGTATAAAATCTAAGGAGGCAAGAGACCGAAAATTTAGTGGCAAAGGCTTTATTTTTAGGCCTGGCGACCAGTCTCCGGGAGCCAATTTGGAGACTGTCCCCTAGAAGCTGCAGGGAGGACTTTAAAAAGGGGCTGGAGGAAAGGGCGGGGGGAGAGAAACAAAGAAACCTGTAGAGCCATCAAACTTGTTGACCCGAGTCTGGAAACTGTATTGCTGTCTATTTAGCTCTGACAATCTAGGGAGTTTTTGGTGTTTTTTAAAAATTATTTTTATCCTGCAGACTGACATTATCTCAGAGTGGCACGTCTGCAGCAATATTTGGAGAAGAAAGTGGACAGTTAATTATCTCAGGACAGCTTGTCTTCGCTAGTGAGTGCGAAGGGGTCACAAGTTATGAGACGCTGGAACTTAAGTTTTACGAAGACCTGATATCTAACTCATTTGATATATACAGAACAAAAGGAAAGCACCGATTGGGGTTTGGGCCATAGTATTATCCGGTAATTTGTTTTAAGCTAAGCAGTTTTTAAAATTGGGGCAGGCTCATTTTACAACAGATCATCACCGGGTCAGGGGGAGGTCACCAGAAACCCAAATTTTTTATGGCCTAGATAGATAGGTGAGGGGAGAGGGAGGCAATAAGGCGCCATACAGAACAGAAAACGGCGGTAATGTGTCAAGGTCAGGGTAAAGGGTTAAACTCACACGCAAATCTCTCTGCACACAAGCAGGTTACTTTAAACAAATGTAAATTAATTGCCATTCTAGTTTTCCTTAGCTCTTTAGCGGAGAATAGAGGCTCCTAGCAGTGATTAACAACCCTTGTTAGCTTGTTTTAGCACAGCTTCTGTAGTTTGTAGAGAGCAACAATGGTTAACATATCAATTAGGTGAGATTTTTGCAATTCTTTACAGAGGAGAGTGTTGCTCAACAGATCAATTAGGTCCCTTAACATATCAGTTAGAAAAAAAAGATAAAACAAACACATTTAGTAAGCCCCTATACAGGTTTGCTATAATACACATATAACAAAGCTATTTTCTTAGGGTACAACAGAATCCTCCTGCCCAGGCCTCCCAGATTGCTGGGATTATAAGTGTGTATCACCAAACCCAGCTAAATTAGGTTTTTTTGTAAAAATTAATTTCTTTAAATTGATTTTGGTATTACTCTTGATATTTTTATCCTCAAAGATTTAAAAAATTACGTACAACTATATTTATTTTATCTACATTTTTTAGAACTAATATTTTCATGAAGACTGTACTTGAGGATGCCATTTTCAAAACTTGGGGAGAAAATAAAATCATTTTCAAGTAAAAAGAGCCAAGAGGTAGTCATGTAAAATCTTTTTTTTCCAATACATTTTTATTTTTTCCTTCAAAGTATAAGGCATTACTCTCAAGAATGATTTACAAAAATTCAACCAAACTACAGCTTGACTAATATTTGCGTAATTGATTTATGTGTTGGTTTTATTCATCACTATTGCTCCCAAAGCTCTTTAACAACTTAAAGTTTTATAAGCTTGTATGGCGTTTTCTGTTGAATTACAAATGTCTTTCAATCTTAGAGATGATAAATACTTCCTCCATAGAATAGAGAAAATAGAAAGTAGAAAAAATACTGAGTGCATGCTCTGTTCTAGACCCAGTGTTCAGTAGAAATCGATGTAATGGGAGTACTTGCATTGCAAGTACCTTGTGAGACTAAAAAAGGCCACACACAGGATGCCAACAGGAAATGTTAGCATATTTGATGAATAGTAGTTTAGAACATTAGACAAAACTACAAAGGAAGAAAAAGAACAAGGAAGTAATGAGAGAGGATAATGGATACCTCCAGGTGTTAGCACTGACCTGCGATCAAATCGTGGCTCATCAACTTGTCAGCAGCACAGCCCTGCTGAGCTGTTTGCTGAAGTCTCAGTTTCCTGGTTAGCAAGCCAGGAGTGACCTTGGGTGTGAAGTAAGGCTATGTGTGTGTGACGGTTTAGAAATAGTATCTGCTGTGTTCAGAAGCGCAGTTAGAACAAACACCAGCCGGATTGAAGATCCTACTTCTTATATTTGGTGTTTTTGGCATTTGAGATATTATTTGAGGGGTGAAAAGACTGTAAAACAATTTTCTAGTCTCTGATACTGAGTGATCGTGTGCTGCGTATGGGTTTAATTCATTGGTGAAGGCAGAGAAGATAATATATTATTTTTCACTCTTCACTTTGATAATGTTTTCAATGAAAAAGTAGAAAGATCAGGAGACTTTTGTAACAGAAATATCTGGGCTTTAATCCAAAATCTCTTACTTTGGAATCTTGCATGTAACCTAAAATGTTTCCTCTTTATGATTTAGGGTTGTTGTAATCATTACATATGAGGATAGATGTAAAATGCTAATATCATACCTCAGTCATCTTGGATCGTGTGATTACTAACAGAACAAAGTGGTACCCAGACCGGCAGCCAGACTGCATAGGTTTGGATGTCAGCTATGCAGCAGTGAGCTTTCCTTCTCACCTTTTTTACCTTTTTGCTTTTGGTTTTTTGAGACAGAGTCTTGCTGCATAGTTCAGGCTGGCCTTGAACTTGCTGTGTAACCCAGACTGGCCTTGAACTCACAGCAGTCCTCCTGCCTCAGTCTCCTGAGTGCTGGGAATAGAGGCGTGCACCACCACACCCGGTTTCTTTCCATCTTTATGATGGTACTGGGAGAATATCTGGGACCTGAATGTGGATTTGGTTGTGACAGAAATGTTTTTAATTAAAATGGTGGCAGTTGTCCTTATTCTTCCTCATCAAGAGAAAATCAGTTCAAACTGCAAGAATACAAATGAAGTATAGAAAATGACAAAGGTAAAAGAAAAAAATGGATTTATGGAAATCAGAGGACAGTAGTTAGCAAAAGAAAGGCAAAGAGGAAATGTGACCCCTCTTTGCTCCATTTGGTGTTTGAATCCTCAGTGTTGTGCAGGGTTTGGAGTTGATGGCTGAGTGTCGTGTAGACCTGCAAAAGCACAGTCTAATTCTGACCTGTCTACAGTGGTAGAGGAATTCCTAAGATCACACAGTTTTTTAAAATCAAAGCCTTGTACTCCTTTGCTTTGAGCACTCCTTGTGTCATTGTATGAAAGTGTGACAGTTCACTATGTCTTTTGGCTCCTTAGTCTCTAAATTTCTGTACTTCCTGGACTGTATAATTATAAATAATCAATTTGGCTTTTTACTTTTACTCTGACTTCTTAACAATAGTATTAGAGGAAAATATTGATTTTCCTTGTTTTAGCTATGTTTGCAATATCCATCAAGTGATTGTGAACTATAGTCCCAGAGATATATTCCAATAAGCAAAAGACCACAGATACAGAGCTTTTATTGACTGAAAGATTTGTAAGTGAACGCCGATAGCACTGCTGAAAAACAATTTTGAGCCATGGCAGATTTTCATTTTTCATGTGTGTAGTGACCTGATTTTACATATTTCAACTAGGTTAGTGGACCAAACAAAATACAGATGGTAAGTCAAAGAGAAGAGAGATAAATAGAAAATAGAGAGAAGTTCAAATCCTTCCCCAAATTACCATTCTGGTGTTGTAGAAATATTTCAGTATATATGTTAATCTGTTTCATTTATACTAATAGTTGATCTTAGTTCATTGAAAAGAAGGTTTTTGCTGTTCCTTTCTTTTTTTGTAAGAGTCTTTTTGGTTCCTGTCCCATATTGAGCAACTACTCTGAAGATAACAATACACAACATGATAACCACTGTTATTATCTTATTTGATTATGAAAATTTGTTTTATTTTCTCATAAACTAACAAAAAGAAAAAGAGAATCCAAAGAAAGTACACTTATTAAATTCTTATGATTTTCATAAAAAGGGTTATTTCCTCTATATTCTGTTATTTGTAAATTTCATTTTTTAAAAAATCCTCTGTAATTCTTCAATAAAGAGAAACAGTTTCTGATTCAGTCTAAGGGGTGGCAGCTCCTATAACCACAGACACGGGGTCCCGACTGGGAAATGTGTGGGGACTCCAGTCAAAACACTATTTAATGCACTTTTCTTTCTTATCTCCAAGGAAAGTTTAAGAACAGCTGCTTAATTACAATGACTGTAAATTTCTTTATGGTTGGCTCAAGCTAATGAATCTGATTTCTTTCCACAGTCTTCATGAACGCAGCAATCCCCATCGCAGCGGTCCTTGCTGTAAGGCATTTTTTCTTGCTTTTTAGAAATGGAGCCAAGTCAGTGTGTATAAATGATTTATGAAAAAGAATGTGTGGGTGGCGACATATACTGCTTCATTTCTGTTATTCCTTCTTTGCAATTTTTCTAGGCCAGGATCGCTCACTCTTGACACTATGAACACCTTGGCCAGATAGCTTTTTAATTATCAGTGGGCGTCGTAGCATTAGGACATTTTCCAGCTTCCATAGATTCTGCCTACGTCCAGTCTTGACAGTGAAAAACATCCCTGGACGCTGGCAAATGCACCCTGGGGGAAGAACTAAGAATGGCTGACAGTGAACCATTTTAATCTCAATGACCTGTTTCCCGTACATTTTTACAACAGGGTGCTAGATCAACAACGAAAATGGTAATAATTAGGCTGCATTTTGAGCTAAAATGACAAACCCAGCCACTGACATTATTTTTTGAAATGTGCCTAAGTCTTCACATTTCTGCATGCACTTTTAGTAATCTACACTAGGGACACTTAAGTAACAGAACATTCTCTTTTCTTTTAGAGTATTAAAAAGCATTGTTGATTGCAAAGAGCTTGACTGGTGCTCAGTGAAGAACTGTGAGTTCTTCTACTTATTCCCCAACTCAGCAATTTGACAGAAGTATTTTCTTATGCTGTAAATAGACTCTGTCCTGACTTTTAAAAATCAGTTTACTGCTGGGAAGACTCATCAAGCATTAAGCTTGCCCCAACAGTATTGTTTTAGCTAAGGAGCTTGGGATGAAGGAATTGTTTACATAGTTGTGATGGCCATATTGGCACAAAGGCAAATATTAGGTTTGTAAAAATGAACACACAGACTTTCTGTGGCTCTCTCTAAAGCAACACTTGCTTTGCACAGACTTTTGTGACCCACGCCTATGCCAGTGGCCACAACCTCAAGCCTGCAGAGGCCTTCGCCTCCCTGTCTCTCTTCCACATCCTTGTCACCCCGCTGTTCCTGCTCTCCACGGTGGTCAGATTTGCGGTCAAAGCCATCATAAGGTAGGCACCAAAATCTCTGGATTGCTTTCCTAATGATGGTAGAAATAATACGTGTGTCCTAATGGTACATTTGGAAAAGTGCAAAACAGTGCATTCATTCATAATCATTGCCCAGAGATGACCATTGTTAAAATTTGGGTATGTGACTTCGGTACTTTATTTCATATAAAAATAATTATCACAAAATAAAGATGTTGAATTTATATAGGTTTTGACTCCTTATTTCACTTTGTATTTTCATTGTTTTTTCCTTGCCATTGTCCATTGTTTGGAAGTACATTAATTTCTCTATGAATTGCCTATTTATTGGGCATTTGTAATGTTTTCTGTTTTCTGCTTAATATACGTAACAATAAAGTAAACATCTTTATTTATCTTGCACTTTTCTCTCACGGTTTTCTTACGTCTAATTTTTAGAGGTTTCAATACTAGTTTTAGACTATGCATGTCTTTAAGTTCCTTGATATTCATACTGATGTTGCTTTCCATTAAAGTGGTAGAGGGTCAAATAGTACCCATACATTTGAAATTATTTGTATGTGCTTTGATTTTTGTTGTTGTTTGTTTGTTTGTTTCTAGACAGGGTCTTACCACATAGTTCAAGAGGCTGGCCTTGAACTCACTTTGTAGCCCAGGCTGGCCTCGAACTTGCAACACTCAGTCTCCCAAGTGCTAGAATTATAGGCAGGCACCACCACACCCAAGGATGATATAGCTATGTTTTCCACTGAAACCATACCAATTTATATGTGTCTCCTCAGTGACAGAATTTTTATACCAACATATAAATTCTGTTACAAATTCAGTTTAACTGGAAAAAAAGAAATAACATATAAAATCAGTCCCTGAAAATAGAGAGGCTTGCAAAACTTTCTAGTATTTTGCTCATTTAAGTATACTTCTATACTGTCTCCAATTGGTATAGACTTTGTTTCATATAGAATTTCCCATAACAAACAGCTATGTGATAGAACTGATGTGATAATGGCCCATTCCCCATCAGTTTTATTTATATTCTATGAAATGTTACTAAACCACATCTTCTATATTGTGTGTACCATAATCTACCTGTGTCTCAGAATCTATTAAACATAAGGAAGTCTCAAGTAGTATTTTGCTTTTGTGTATCTGTCTTTACAAACCTTATACAACCTCAGTATGTTTCATAACTGAAAGATGAAATGCCTAAGCATTGTGCCACTAAAGGAAAACTAGAAAAACTCATGCCTTAAATACATTAAATACAATTTTGCTATTGACAGAAATCTAAAGCATCTCTAATAATGTCTTAAAATGACATAACTTTTCCTGTATCCATATATTAGTGAAAAAACCTAGTATTTCATGTTCAAAACACCTGAATCTCTAGGTTCAAGCAACATTTGACATTGACTTAGCAATGGCTTACTGCCAGCTAAAATTAAATTCATAAAAAATTATCCTGTTGTGAATGAAATTCTGCTAGGATTTGATGGTGTCATAACAGCTTCAATTCTGTTCCTCGAGTTAGGTCATTAGTAGCATTTCGGAAGCTTGTTTCAGTTTAGAGCTCAGGCCCTCTGGCCTCATCTACTCTCACATCCTTTTCTTATTGTCCTGCCTTCTGAAGCCCTTGAACAGATCATGGCCTGCAAGTGTAGTACCACTTCCAAATTAGGCAGTGCTTTGGAAGGGACGATGCTTCAAACAGTAAAAGTGATAAATGGCCAGAGTCTGCTATTTTGGGCCTTATTTTCATTTTAACAGCTATCCCTTTCATGGTTGCACTGTTAACTGGAATGCGATTTTGCACTGCAAGTAGAGACAAAAAGCAGTTGATAGCTTTTAACAAATAATTCCTGTGAAATCAGGAGGTTTACCAAACATCAAAAGAACTTTCAGTGGGTTTGGAAAAAGATAGCAATCTAAGGACTTTCCCCCAATCCATAGTACACAGTTTTGCTGTAGTAAATCCTAGTATAACTGAGGGTGGATAAAGTCCCCTGTGTATTTCTGCATAGCACTTTCCCTTCTGTACATTTCAGGGAAAAGGCATTTGCCAGTTTGATAAAGACCAGTCTGTTTTTAGGGCTTAGTTCCAGGTTTCCCAAGCCATAGGCCAAGTAGAATCTGCTTGTAAAAACATGCTCTCTAAAATGACTTGCAGTTGATCTGCGGGTCTTATAGAGATGGTTGGTCAACAGAGGAAGCCAATCATTTTCCCTGCTGTGTGCCAGTTCTGGGAACCCAAGGAAGCCTTTGCCCAGTCTTGATGGGGCTGGACATTTTCTTCGGTGCCTGGGAACCCGTGACCAGTCTTTGATGCCAGTTGGCCCACAGTGAGTCGAGCAGCTTGTTTATAATCAGAGGCTTTGGTCAGCTGATTTGAGATCCACTTTTCAGCACTGTGGAAGTCATAGGTTCTTCACCAGATTCTTAAGTGCATTCAAGAGTTTGGTGGGATAGAATGGGCTGAAGTATATTTGCAAATGTGTGTCATGCATACATCAAGGAAATCTGAAGTCTCCCATACCAAAGGAAAACTCCATGCCATGTAAAATTCTCTGCTCCAGAAAATTCCTTCTTTGGAAGAGGTTTGGATCATTAGCTAAAATTTGTGGCATTCATTTATTGAGATATATATATGTGTGTGTATGTATGTATGTACAATATGTCATGTATGATATATAATGTATAACATATGTAATATATAATAGATTACATGTAATTCATCAAATGTCATAATTATACACATATTATGTAAGAAATATAAAAACAGAAAAATAAATATATAAAAATAATGAATATCTATATAAACTATCCCCTGTATATTTTATGATGTATTTCTGCCTGAAAAATATCACAAAGAAGCTGAATGAGGTTTGCTCTTTCTTCCAAGCTTGAATTATATTAGCTTCTTCCTCCTCACGACCCATGACACCTAATATCATTTGCGCTTTCTGGGCATTCCATGACAAAGTGTTGCAGTCTATATTTGCAAAACAGAGAGAAAAAAAGTCACTGTTACTTAAAAATTCAAATACTTAAACAAGAGTGTCTCCCCCCAGGATGCTCACCTACTTCTCCACTTTGCTTTATTAGGAAATAATGTACATGTTTTGCTTTTCTGGAGGAGAAGTTATTGTATTTCCTTATAAATGATTCGAGTTAGGTATCTGGTGTTTGGTATATAATGTAGTATTTATGTTCAAAGGTGTTATTTGCCTATTGAAAAAAGATAAGTCCCTCATTTTGTTGGGAAGTAACCTCTTGTCCTTATTCTCATGTACCTCCCAAAGGATTTTGTGTTTGACTTGCCTGCTGCCTTGACATCAGAAGACACACTGTTCCTGAAATTTATCAAGCAACATGCTTACAATTTGGTTTGGTCTCTGTATTTTAGTCAATAATTCTCATTTAAAAACAAACAAACATATAAACCAAATTACATATATATATATATATATATATATATATATATATATATAGTTGCTTACGAATTCAAGCCATAGAGCAATCATGGTTCAACCTGAGGCCTGTTTTGCGGGGTCTCAGCGTCTTCACTTGTCAAATGAACCTAATAATAGTACTTGTTAATGATGGTTCAAGAAAGTCAAACAGGAAAATCCATAAAAATATCCAGAATGTTGCCTAGATATTTTAGGTATTTCAAAATTTTCTGTTTCACTAATTTACAAGCCTTTTCCTCATTTCCATTCCTCTAAGCATCTTTGGTGGGACTGCATCGATTTATTATTAGTTCAGATATATTACCAGGCATCAGTACTGACAAAACTGAGACTGAGATGCACAACATCACCATCTTGTTGGAGAGACCAGAAAAGGAAGCCAGTTCCAATGTAAAGCTCCGCAATAGACTGGCTGGGCATGGTGGTGTGAACCTGTAATCCCAGCACTTGAGAGAATGAGGCAGGAGGATTGCCATGAGGTCCAGGTCAACCTGGGCTACATGATGAATTCAAGGCTAACCTAGGCTACATGTGATCTTTTAGGTGATAAAAGATGCTGAAAGACAAAGACGCCATTTTTTTATTTTAAGAAAAGTCAACGTTTGCATTTTTAAATTATAATCCTGGAGAAGTGATAGAAGTTACTTTACCACTAATCAGGATTCATGCATTGTCTATAATTGTTTTGCCTCCGTGATTCCTGATAGGAACTCGTATGAACAGGAAGTGCTCTTCATATTACCCAATTACTCATTCACCAGACATTTCTTGAGGAATTACTATGTTTTAGATATTGAGCTTGACTGTAGAAATGAAAAGTTTTGCTCTTGATGAGTTCACAGTGTGAGATAAAAGATAGTAACGAATAATTAATAAAATGATGAGAAAGTAGGAGCATGAAGGAATCTTTGGCCAACCACACTTAAGAAGGGGAGAGAAGAGGTTTAGAAAATGGCTGTGTTGGACCAAGTCCATTGATGCTCCCTGTCCCTGAAGTTCTAAAGGCTGATACCCTTTTGGGTAGGTCTCTCTACCCTTGGTTACTCTGACAGGTCTTTGCTTCCTGATGTTCAACAAGGGTGGTCTTCATATATTCCACAAAAACTTCAGTAGGATTTGTGTGTATACGAAAGCCACCTTGAATGTCTAAACCACCAGTTTATTTGTTTGATTCATTGACCAAGCATTTACAGAGTAATGTGGGCCAGGCGCTGCTGGTCTTGAAGTACAGAGGGAGATGGCTGAGCCGCAGTACTCCCCTGTGTGTGCCGTGGCCCGGGGCAGGGTTGGTAAAAAGTGTGCCTTTCCCTGACCAAGCTGTGCTCCTTGAGACCATGACTCCTCAAAACGTAAGAGCAAAATGACCAGTACAGTCTGTAAAAGTAAAAAAGGAGTATGTGCTCTTCAGGGCAAATAAAACACTATTTCATAAGGCACTTCCATTGCTGTGTCTTTGAAGTCTTTATGGTCAGACTTTGCTAACAGAGACAGTTTACAAGTCAAGGCTCTTCTTAAACAAGACCTCCTTTTAGTTCCCGGGAGGAGCGGTTTGGAAGCTGGTGGTTAGATTGCTGCTGTGTATCTTACCTAACTTTGTGCTCTAATGGCAAAGCTCTTAAAGATCATAAACAGCAGACTAAATTAAATTTATTTTATTAGCATGTTACAAAAACAAACCTGCCAGACTTACTTAGGGGCACTGACCTTGCCCAAAGCTCAAGGAAAGTTTTGAAAAATGTAGAGTTTTTACTTTGACTCTCTATTTTTTAGTTTCCTATGGAAGGCAGCACTTTGCTTAGCATGGATGCCGTATTGGAGCATTCCTTTTCCTGGGCATGTTCACAGAATTGTTTTCAGTGTGTTAGTTTACTGATAAGAGGATGACTGTACTATTGACTTTTGTAAACTTATCTTTGAACCTCATCCTATGGTAACTGTTTAAGAAAGTTAGACTGAGAGAAATGGGCTAAGGAGGCTTGACCTGCCCAAGGATAGCAGGGTAAAGAAAACCTTAGAAACTGCCATCTGTTCCTGAAGCATTTCCGGATATTGTTAAAATGTATATTTTTATGTATGAGTCCTGGTGTGATCTGAGCTTCTCTTTTCTTAATAAGCTCCCGGGTGCTCCTGGGATTGGACCTTGGCCAGTACTTTTAGTAATAAGTCTCTAGCCGCCTTCTCTTTTTCAAGTTCAGAAAATACGTGTAGTGCACAGTGCTGAAGCAGGGTGTTTGTACAGTGAGCAGGGACTCTAGATCTATATATTACATGATAAAAGGACTTCAGACAAGTTGCTTATCTACATTTCAATTCCCCTCTGAAAAAATTATAAGAATATTCCTCTCATTATTTGTAACCTCTCTATTCTAAGTTCCTGTCCTACTCTGCCATTTTTGATAAGGAATATAATTGCAAAAAAATACAAAATAAGTTGGACTGAGTTTAGGATAACTGACGGTTCTGGTTTTCCTAAGATTTTTCCCATATTGGTGCTAAAAGCCTCATGTCCTGAGGAGCACCGAGTGCTGGACAATTCAGTGTACTTCACGCTAGCTGATTTCCAGAGGGTTTGGAGAAGCAACTCTCAGAAGCAGCCTGATACCGAGTGAGGGAAAGATTTGCTTGTATAGATAGCATGTTTGTTGGTGGCAGTTTTCTCGGTGATCCTTATCATGTGTTTGTTTCTTTGTCCTTTGCAGTGTTCAGAAGCTGAATGAGTTCCTCCTCAGTGACGAGATTGGTGACGACAGCTGGAGAACTGGTGAAGGTTCTCTGCCTTTTGAGTCGTGTAAGAAGCACACTGGAGTTGTAAGTGCATTTCTTGCTATGAAGGCTGTAAGGAGGGGTCACTCTCAACAGAACGGATGGTTTAATATGAGCACAATCAGAAGAAATAATCTTATCTTTTAATCTATATAAGGAGAAACTTCCATGAGCTCCTGTAAAAGTCCAAAACCAACAAACAAATATATAAGGCTTGCTTTAATAAATCATCAGAGTTCTCCCAAGAGAGACAATACATGGTCAGATTAAAAGGCAAGTCAGAGTTTATTTACCTCGTTTTTTTTTTATCATAAAACTACAATCTGCATACAACCACTGTACCATGTTCTTATATCTTTTGGCCATTATACTTTTTAGTTTAAAGCACATTTTCAGATGTGTGATGTATTTTGACCCATTTAGTGTAATGCCTTGTTTTCATTTCTAATGAACATGTTGAGTTTGCATACTTGAGCAGTTTGACCAAAGTTGTAAAATTAATAAGAGGCAAAACCAGAATTAAAACCCATCTTGTAACTTGTAGACTAGTTAGTTCATTCACTCCAACACAAATATTTCCTCAGTATTTACATAAAGTCTGGAAAGAATAAATATGATGTTGAATACAAAATAAATATTGATTATATATTATGTTGAACATACACATATCACACACACACACACACACACACACACACACACACACACACACGGACACTTGCAAGAAGGCCCCTCTGCAAAGCCAGAATTTGAGCTGAGACCTGAGTAAAGGATAGGTGCCTGTCCTATAAAGGAAAAATGCAAATAAGAAAACAAATATTGTCAGAAGGTCTGGCAAATGCAGAGAACTTGAAACAGGAATGAATTTGACTTTTTCAGTGAACAAAGGGGCAGTATTGCTAGAGTCTGGCCAAGGAAGGAAAGAGGAGAGAAGGATTTTGAAGACCATGGGAAGAGCTTGAATTTTATTGACATACAATAAGAAGTCATAGACAAGTGGAATTTTGTTAATTTTTTGAAAAGATCGCAGTGGTTACCGTGTAGAGAGGTGTGGGGACAGAGAGCAGGACTGGAAGATCAGTGAAGAAGCCATTACAATAAGATGGGGCAAGATGATGGTGGAAAGAGTTAGATTTTTATGTACTTATTTATTTTATTTTATTTTTGTCCTTTTGAGACATCTTGCTATGCAGTTCAGGCTGGTTCTGGACTCATTTGATAGTCCAGGCTGGCCTCGAACTCACAGCGATCCTCCTGCCTCAGCCTCCCAAAGTGCTGGGATTACAGGCATGCACCACCATGCCTGGTTTGAATTAGGTTTTTGTTGTGCTATGGGAATTGTAAAGAAGTGATCAAATTCAGCGTATGATGTTGAGCTTATAAAGACTCTCTGAAATACTGGATGAAAGAGGCAGAGGATTCAAAGGTAGATCCTGAAGTATTGGTTTGACTGCTGGTGGGCAGTGGGGCCATTAACTGAAGTAGAAGATGAGAAAGGAGGAGATTGGTTTGACATGACATCATTTTGTGTATGATAACTTCGAGATGCTTATTGACATCCAAGAAGAGACGCTAGCACTGGAATGTGAATCTATGAGCCATGGGCCTTTAGGTAATATTGAAATCAATGGGGTGAAATACACCACTTTTTAAAGGTTATATCTGAAGGAATTTTTTGAAAGTAATATATATTTCATAACAGTGAAGTAGAAACATGCTAATGCAAAGTGAATCCAAGATGTTATTGTTAGTTATTCATGTGAGTATTGGGAAAATACAAGCATATTTACCCTGTATATGACCCAGCAAAAATGCACATTCCGTCTTCTGCCTGGAAGTGAGTGGACCTTGGAGAGCTTTGACAAGGAAGCCAGTAGATATATTCAATTTTTCTTCACATTATGCTTAAAAACTTCTAAAAATAGTTAGGAGGAACACTTGGCTATATTTAGACTTACTGTTTTCTTTTGCTTTTTGAGAGTTTTAAAATGTTTTTTTAGATTTTCTTTTAAATTGTTGAGCAGTCATGCTTTGTCTGAGAAGGAGGACTATCCGTGTTTGTCTACACCACGGTTAGCTGTGCTTGCATTGTGTGGGCACAGACACGATATAGGAATGAATCCTTTAAAGCGTGTCCATGCTTTAAGGCAGTGCGATTGTCACATCTGAGACTAGAACTGCCCCCATCACACTTGGGAGGCTCCTAGTCTACCCCAGAGCTCAGTAGATCATCTTTCAGAGGTGTGAGCATGAGCAAAGAGTGATTATCTCAGGCAAGAAGACGCAGAGGTCGATTTCATGGAGTGAGAGAAATCTGAACAACTTTTTGCGCGAAGAGGGATAGAAGAAATATTGAGCCGAGAAAAGATTTTTGAAAGGAAAAAGAATCCCCTTCAGATGCATCCAATATCTTCAGGGTTATTGAAACCAGACTGGACTTCTGATGTCTTTCGGGGTCATTCATCACTGCTGATGGGCCAAACCACAAACGGCGAGCTTTTTTAAAATGGAGTGAAAAAAATCTGTGTGTTTGAAAATAACACTAATGGAAACTCCTTCTTGAGAGCGCTTAAGATGCTATGTATTCTGTAAAAGCTGAGTTAAGTGGTTTTGGCTGTAGAATCTCCATGGAGAATTAGTGACATTCTAGAGCCAAAAGCTCTTCAAATTACATCTGTAGAACTCCAACTCAAATCTCTGTCAACACATCTCTTCTTCCCACCCTCTCCTCAATTTTGTGATGAGCATGAAGTCATTCCCTTTGGACCTCTGGGGGCAATACTATTATAGAATTAAAGGCTCTTAGAAGACAGTGGAGTTTTATAGGTGTAGGCTTGTTTGGGGTAGAAACTATGGTAAAGAATATCCTTAAATATACTCATCCTAAATAATAGTAGCTTTCTGCAGCATTTCATGCAGTGTATTTCTGAGGCTGTCAGGCCTATGGGAACAAAAAGCCAAACTAAAACAAAATTTCGAACACACATCCACATTTTATCTCTCTTTTTTGCAGTTAAAATGTTTTTAGTATTTTCTTTGTGACATAATCACTGATAATGCTTTTGATTTTCTTAGTGACTTTTTAATCTATTATTTATTTGCATGAAGCCTCGAATTATACTATTTGATAGTTTGCGGTTCTGTTGGGACAAAAATTGATGGAAATTGGAAAAACAATATCTTGGTTGGATTAAATTACTGATTATTTGAAGACTTTCCTCATTCTCATAGTAGAGCTCTGGATTTTTTGAAAAGCTAAATCTGCAATTCTTGGCCAGAATTTTTTTAAAGCTTAATAGTTCTAGAGTTTTTGGCTTTTCTAGGTAACCTAACAGAGTTAAAGAATCACAGTTTAGTCTTCATAATCTCTATGAGATATTTGAATAAGGCAGATAATTATTTATGTTGAAATACTTGCTTGCTGGGTTCCTGGAACAAATTTTGAACTTACAAATTCTTCCAAATTGGAAATTTACAGAGCTAAATTTTCTATTTTATCTTTAGAGCTTTTTCTCTTATCTATGTAAGAAGTTAAACTCAAGATTAGAGAATGAGACTTTTCTAATTATGACCTAGTTTTACTAAAATATAGGAAGACTATTTCATCACAGCTGGCTTCATCTACCTAATAGATGTTTTAGTTTGTTAAATAAGAGTGGCACTTTAGGGGCTAGGGATATATCTCAGTGTCACAGCACCTGTCTGGCAAGTGCAAGGTCCTAAGTTTGATTCCTGGTTTAAAAAAAAAGGCACTTTAACATATAAGATAACCTGGATCCTCCTACAATATTTATGGAACTCCTTATGATACGCTATACATCTTTGTATAGAAATCCAAACCTTTTGCTTTTGCCAATATACAGTAGATCCTTGGGGGATGCTTAGCTCAATCTGATTCGTATGAGTATATCAGGTTCAAAATTGTCATGGTTCCAAAGATGATCAATAATGTACTGCTGGAATGTAATGAGCCTGATGGACCAGACAAGTAGAATTAGTTTAATCTGTGTTAATCTGATCACCTTTGGATAGGACACAGCATTTTACATTCCCTAGATGTATTTATCCATATAATTAAAGAAAAATGTATAATACCTGGTTTGTAATACAGTACCTGTGCCTCCGTCATTTACAAGTATTATGTATTCACGTTCTCATTTTTCTGTAAGAGGTTAGTAAATTAGAGCTCAGGATTTATTTTTCATTATTTGCTTTTTGTGAAGTCATTGAAAATATTGAAATATGACATTCACTTTGGAATTTAAATAAAGTAGCAATGTGCATTGATGTTTAGAAAAATCTCAAATTTTTTTCACAAAGTTTCAATTTGCGTTGTTTTCCTTTGGAATCCTGCAGCCAAAAACTATAAACAGGAAACAGCCTGGCAGATACCACCTGGACAGCTATGAGCAGTCTGCACGACGTCTTCGTCCCACAGAATCAGAAGACATTGCAATAAAGGTTATTTTATTCCCTAGATTTTTATGTGAATGGAAACATATTTCTCTTTGTATTGGTCAGCTATCTTGTTACTAGAAAAAGGTACCCAATGCCCACAAGTGAAAGGAGGTGGTTACAGAGAGTTCAGTCCATGGTGTGTTCACTCCAAAGTAAAAAGAACATGGCAGAAGGGAATTTGGGAGCACAAATCCGCTCGTTTCGTGACTGTAGTGAGCCAAGCACAGGGGAAGTGTGTCAGAAAAGAAGGGACCAGAAGCTACAGATAGTTCCCAAGGTCATGCCCCATGATTCACTATGACACATCCAAAAGTATGCTTTACTAACTCATTAGGCATATATTAAACCAAGTAAATTGACAATCAGCGTTAGCATCACACTTCAGGCTTCCTAAATTGTGTCTTTATAGTCTCTTTATAGTAGTAATTGTCTTGATAGTATTTTAAAAATATTCTGATGAATCATCATTTTTAGTCCTTGCCTTTCAGCCACGAATATCTTAGTCTAATCAGAGAGGAAGCCTTTCACTTAAATCTGTTAGAAGCTAGTATCCAAGCTGTTTCCTCTTATTACTCTTGCATAAATTTATTTATCAAGAATACCAATATCATAAATCCAATTTTTAGGAAAGTAAGGTAGGTAGTAATTATTTAGGCCAGTGTTGTAGGTTTTCATGCAGCTTCCCAGTAATCCACACTGTCTTTGCTCTTGTTCACACTTGACCTTTTGTGATCTCCCCGGGCTTTTGTGCTTAGGGAGCAGGTGGGTAGAACAAGAAAACCCAGGCACATAGGTGGGGGACTAATGGTTGGACATGTTCCAAGGAGGGGTGAGTGATGTGCAGGCAATGCAACAGAACCATTCAGTAGTCAAGAACTTCTGGATGTCAGAGATACCATGTAGAAACCCATCCCATTAAACCTCTTCCCACCCACAGTGGACACTCCGTATCATTCAGGTCCCCTGCAGCACCCAGGCTGAAATGGGGGAGACTCAGCGGGTGTGTTACAGAGCCAAGAGCTTGGTTTAATTCTTCTCTCTTTCCTTGATACCTGCATGATACTTGTCCTACATGAAGTATGTTGAAATTATAGCCAGTGTGTTACTGAGTGGAAAGGGCCAGTCCCATTAAACTGAGGTATGGCTTTGTGGATTTCTGTATCTCTCTGAGACCTGGGTTGCCCACCATGCCATGTAAAGATGATTGTTTTGAGGGTAAAATGATCCTTCACAATTTTATGGAGAGTTCATGTGATTCTCAACCTCAGCTACGCCTTAGAGTTGGCCAGAAAGCTTTTAAAATGTAGGTATAAGACCTGGGCACCATTTGAAACTGAGTCGTGGCTGTTTCCTGGGCAGTTATAAATGTTCAGGCAGGATGTGGCCACAGAGCTATGAAAAGATAAGAAATGAGATTCTTGAAAGAAGCCACTGTACTGTTGTCCCCAAAACACACTAGGTAACAAGTAAATGGTAGGGACTGGGGAAAAGGGCTAGTTTTTTCTTTAATTATTTGTAATTTTCAGTGTAATACAATATGAATCTAAAATCATGGTTTTTCCCAGATGTCTTTTTGTTTTCATTTTGGACGTTAAAAAAGAGGCTGTTGTGGTTTTTAATTTTTCCAAGATTGACTCTTTTATACACCAAAAAAAACCACCCCAAAATGAAATCTGAAGATTAAAACTTGTTTATCCATGCCCCAGAAGTCATTGTAGTTCTGAACAGTCACCAGAATCTCCTGCAAGCCTGAAGTTTTTATTTATGCAGAAAACCCTCAACGTAGTAAGTTATTACTACCTTGGTTATTGGTGAAAAGTACACCTATTCAAACTTTACCAGAAAATTAAAAATAGATTGTCAGCTTCCTCAGAAATGCCCTGAACATACAGTTTCTCATGCCACTCTCCAGACATGTAATTACCATGTTGACATTTATGTTTTCCTGGTTATCCTTGTTATGCAGACCTCCACAATCTCCCCCAAACATATTTTTAGGGTTTTTTTTGTAAAGTTTGAATAAGTGTGCATCGTGTATTTTGCTTTTGGGGAGACAACTGATACACATGTATAATTCATCACTATTGCTATGAGCCTGTAATTCATTGATTCTCCTTGCTGTTTAGGTCCCATTCTACAAATATACCAGTATTTATTTATTTATTCTACACTTCACAGCTTTGGGTTATTTTTCAATTTACAGCCTTTGTGAATAATTACTGAGGTGTAGGATACGGGCATCCCAAGGTTTTCTGAATAATAGAAAATGATTTTCCTAAGTTATTAAGCCAGTTTACACCTCTGCCACTACTGCTTTTCCGTGTATCCCTGATGCTCATTTGTACGTCTGTCTCCCTGACCTTCCTGCCCACCCAGCCATTATGTCACCAGCTCTTTCATGCTTAATGTACGTACTTAAACATGCTCATGTCCTTGTAAGCCTGTGATTTTATTAAATGTTTTTATGCTGGTTTGTTCCTTCTAACTATACACTTAGTCATGCAATATGCATCACTGTGTTTTACTTATTGCTGTAGTTGGATACAGTTGTCTGGGGCTGAGCGTTGCTAACATTTTTATTAGTACACGTTTGCAGCGCATGCTTACATTCATTGTGGGGAGCTGGTGCCTGCACGTAACACATCTCAATTCTATTCAGGTCCCATTCCCACCTTCTCTAGGAGCTGGGACTGAGCTCTAAGCTTCCCTCTGTCTCCCCTCACACCATTCTCTGTGCTGGTGATCATTGCACCCATTGTTATGCAAACCTGTACAAAGATTTATTTATAAATTCGCTGGTCATCCACCATCAAAAAAGTAGTTAAGGAAGCCAAAGTTTTAACCCAGTTGGTGGAAAAATGATTGTGTTTTGCATAAGGCAGGAGGGAATAAAAGTATAAATTGTAACAGGAGATATTTAGGTTAGTCTTCTTTTTTGAGTGGGGATTTTTTCCCTTTCACTTCTGTCTAGCACCAGATCATGAGGTGACACTGCATGCTTCTAGTCTTTTCCTGTTGCTTTCAGATCCTATCTTTCTCTCTGACCCTCTGGGGAAGCTGTGGCATTTCTACACCTTCTCATATCTGTGATCAGAGGACTCATGAAGCAGTTAGCACCTGTTTGCTAGTTCATCCTCCTGCCTTTGCCTGTGACACCACTGAAGTGACTTTAATTGCCAAGTTCACAGTCTGTCTTGTATTCCAGCTCAGAACTCCTTGATCTGTTTTCACTAAATTTGCACAACCTCTTGGACGTTTGCATGTGCTCACCACTTGGACCTGTGTCCCTCTCAAACCGTGCTTTTGTTATCCCAGCCAATCACCGACAGAATCATGATCCTCAAGCTTTCTCGGGCTTTCATCTTCATGATTGTTGTCTTACAACCTCATTGAAAGCTCTAGTCTCTTCAGTTCTTTCTTTTCTTTTCCCTACTTCTTTAGTACCTGCCTATGACAAATGAACCTCATGCCTTCCACACACTTATACCCAGGCTGCTGAGTACCATGGAAAAAGTGGCACCCAGGTACAGCATGGTGCAGCCAATGATTGACCGTCTGGGACCGCAGTGCCCCCTAGGAGTTTTCAGGGATCCTTTCATAGGCCTTTCACCTGCGCGACCTTCCAAACCTGCAGTAGCTACTCGGCTATCACTACCGTCCTCCCACCTCCTGATAGCTCTTTGATCACTGCCTCTTTCCCCAGCTGACTTTAGCTTGCAATTCACCAAAGACACGAGCAGGATCACACAGAGCCTCTCTCAGCTTCCTGCTGGCTCTCTTCCAAACCCAACCAGCTTTGCTCCTCTCTGTCCCCTTGCCTCCTCTGAGAGAACAAAGGATCCTCCACCTCTGAGGCTGTGTAGTTTTTTGACTGTCATTTGTCATTTAGCTATAGTATCTTCAACTTCTGCCCCAGCGAGCTGTGTTTCTGATTTCCCACATTTCTGATCTTGGACCTATTCTCACCATAGTTCTTTGCCCTGAAATGCACTTGACATTCAATGCTCTCCAAAACTAGCTAAAAGGCTTCTTCTTCCAAAAAGGCTTTGACTCATCTCAGACTGATCTGCTCTTGGCACTTGGCCCATGCTATCTTTTAGGGACGAGTCATGTGCTGCTTAGTGACAGGCTAAGCTCAGAGACATGCAGACCTGAGGTACATCCCGCTCCCTTTTTGATTTTTAATTTTCAGACAGATTCTTATTAAGTTGTTAAGTTGCCCAGGTTGAGCTTGAGATTGTAATACTCCTGCCTCCACCACCCAGAGTTCTGGGATTACACACTGACAGCATCGCCTTGCGTAGGCAGTGTAATCTTAAGGGTCTAGCATCTTGCCCACAGTCTGTCACCAAACTATGCGGAGCACGTACCTTTTTTTTTTTTTTTTTTTTTTAATGTGGTTTATTTTCTTGACGGATGGCAAGCTCCATGGTGTTAGGGATGGTACATGATAACTTCATGGTAGCCTATACCAGCCCACATACGGTGTTTCACCCAGTGTAGGTGCTTAGTTAGTAGTTGTAAAGTGATCAATAATTTTGCCTTTTCCCATCACCCTCCGTCCTTGACTAGCTTTGTGTAGCTGGTTTCCTCTGTTCTTTCAGACGCTGTCCTCTCCCTGATCTACTTCATCTGCTTCATCCTCCTAATTCTTGGACTCGGGTACACCTCATTTCATCTTCCTTTTTAGTGACTATAAATCTACTAAGTTCACCTAGAACCTGTTGAAACAAAATCCACTATCCAGGGAGGAATATGGGTTTTGTGATTGCTGCCGATGTCTGACGTTTATACTATCAAGCAGAGTTCCCTTGTTTCTATGTTTATTTCCTACTCTCCTACACTCTTTCCTTAATTTCCATATAGCGCTAAATCCACACAATGCAGGAAGCTTATTCCTCATAGAACCTTCCTTAGCTAACACAGTGACTATTTCTATTCTTCATTTTCATCACTAGAATTTTTGGGCATTGTCTACTAGTGAAAAAAATCAATGTAGAGACTTCTTTGGAAAATATTTGGAAGGATTACTTTTTAAAAATGTGCACGAATAAGTTGTCCAGTAACACCAACTTTTCAAAGCAAATTGCTATGATTTTTAACATTCTTCATGATATCACTAATTGAAAGACCCTTTTTTTCCTTTTTGATTTGTATTTATCACTAGAAGTTTATAACTCAAAGTTAGACTTTTGTTACTTTGTGTTCAGCTTTATATTAAAAATTTCAGTTTTTTTAAAAGAAAAAAATTGTTTGAGACTATTTTCTAGTGCCATATATACAGTTAATTTCTGTATTCTTATTTTTTAGGTCACAAATGGATACTTTTCATGGGGCAGTGGTTTAGCTACACTATCTAATATAGACATACGAATTCCCACAGGTAAGCGTTGTTGAGCATTTTTATAACCGTTAATTACAACAACCCCAGTTTTCCAAGATAACTGAGCTTAACTAAAAGAAAAAGACTTTTTAGAGGCATACCCATTAGTTATTGTTATGTATTTGTACCATGTTGCTCATGAGTAAATGCATCACTATAAGAATACCTGGAAATTACCACAAAACAAGGTCTGTACTTTTGGACAGGTTATGTTTTCTTGCTGATTGGGGGCCATGTAAAAATGGAGTAGTTAAGTTTTCATTTTGTTTGAGAAAAAATTTAAAAGAAAAATACATAAGAAAACTATTTTCTTTCTCTGAAGTCAGTTAATGACGTTTTCAAGGTATTTAAGGCTCAGCTATTCAATAATTTTATTTATGGGTCTATTTACATATTTAATTTTAAATTTTATTGTGATGTAATGGATCTACAAAATTGTGTATATTTAATATTTATATTTTGGAGCATAGAAACATACACACATTCTCATGATACTATCATTGCAATCAAGGAACTAAATATATAATAATTACCAAAAATGTCTTTGTGTTCTGCTGGGATTTTTTTCACACTTAACATGTGATGTGTTAGAATATTTTAAAGTGTACTCTACTGTATTGATTAAACAGTAGGTGCCTAGAACTTTTTCATCCTATGTAACTGAAATTTCACTGTCATTGAGAAACAATTTCATGTTTCTCTGTTCTATCTGTACTGGAAATCATTATTCAATTTTCTGCTTTTTGAATTTGACTGTTTTCAGTATCTCATGTTAAGGGGACGCAGTACTTGTTCTGTTACTGGTGTATTTCCTTGGCACAGCTGCCTTTAGCTCCATCCATGTGGTTGAAAATGGTAGGATTTTCTTTATTTTAAAGCTGAATAATAGTCCATGAGATTCTATACTCCGTGCTTTCTTTATCCATCATCTGTATCTTGAATGTTGTGAGTAACACTACAGTGAACATGGAAGTGCAGCTGTATCCCTAAAATTGTAATTTTAATTGTTTTCTATGAACATTCAAAAGTGAGACTCTGGATCACATGGTAGTTCTAGTTTAAATATTTTAAAGAACGTCCACACTGTTTTCCATAGTGACTGCACAATTCTGTACACTATTTTCTACATAAGATTATATAAGCATTTCAGTTTCCCCTTATCCTTTCCAACACTTGTTATCTTTTGTTTTTTTTAACAATAACTGTCCTAAAAATGAGAGGCGATATATCATATGGCTTTGATCAGCATTTCTCTGATAGTTAGCTTTGCTAAACAACTTTTTATACATCTGATGACCATTACTATATCTTTGGAGAAATGTCTGTTTGGCTACTTTGTGCATTTTTTAATTGAGCTGTTTGTGATTTTTTTTTGTTTTTGGGTCAGAGGAGATTGTTATATATCTTTGATCCTAGCCTCTTATTGATAGCTTGCAAATATTTTCTTGGTTATTTTCTTTACTGTATGGAAGGTTTCTATTTTTCATGGAATCATACTTCATTTTTTGTTTTGTTGCTGTACTTTTTATATCAAATCAGAAGTCATCACTAAAATTGTTATCATGAGATATTCCCACTGTGCTTTCTTTGAAAGTTTTTATAGTTTCAAGTCTAACAATGAAGTCTGTAGTCTATAGCAGTTCAAATTCATTTCTTTGCATGTAGATATTCAGTTTGCCCAACATCATTTGTTGAAGAAATTCTTTCCTCACTGTGTAATCTTGACAACCTGATCAGTTACCTGTATAAATGTAGATTTATTTCTGTACTCTTGATTCTGTTCCATTGGTGTGTGTGCCTTTATGACAGTACCACAGTGTTTTTACTACTGTAGCTTTGTAATGCCTTTTGGAGTCAAGAAGTGTGATGCTCCAGATTTGTTCATTCTGAAGACTGATTTGGTTAGTTGGGGTCTATTTTAGTCTCATTTGAATTTTTAAAATTGGTATATTTCTATTTAAAATGTCATTGAAGTTTTAGATTGAAATTACATTGAATTTGTAGATTGCTCTGGGAAGTATGGACACTTTAACAATATTATTTCTTCAAACATGATTATGGGATGTCTTTACATTTATTCATGTGTTCTTTAATTTTTTTCATCAGTGTTAGTTTTTCATGCATGTCTTTCTTTGCCTTATTCAAATTTATTCCTAAATATTTATATATTAACATCAAAGTATTCAAAATGAAATTAAGAGAATAATATCATTGAGAACAACATTTAAAAGATTATTACTTATTAATAAACTACTTATTAATAAACCAAATGCTGGGCATGGAAGTGCACACCTGTAATCTCAGTACTCAGGAGACTGAGCCCAGCCTGGGCTATATAGTGAGTTCAAACCCAGCCTAAACTACATAGTGAGATTTTTCTGTCATATTCACAAGTAAAGGTGAGAGATTAGAGATGGTATCTTGATGACTTAGTCAAAATTACTTTCATTTCAATTATCAATTTTAATCAAACTGTCTTTCTCCTCAGTGAATTGAGTGATCAATTTAAAATTAATCTATATGATTTATGAAATTAATAATTAATCTCTTTAGTTCCTTTTTAAAAATAATAAGACAAGACCTACATATTTTATTTTTTTTCCTATTTCAGAAAGATATGTATATCAAAGAAAGAAGCTTTTTGGATTGCTTTATTGCTGAAAAACAAACCAGGCCATTGATTATGAAATATCAGCCTTTTCTAAATGTGTTTTAACTTTATTTTGCTAAGAAAATCCCTTCTCTTCCTCTTGCTACCATTTCTCTTGTTCCTCCAGGTCAGCTTACCATGATCGTGGGGCAGGTAGGCTGTGGGAAATCCTCCCTCCTCCTCGCCATCCTTGGTGAGATGCAGACTCTGGAAGGAAAAGTTCACTGGAGCAAGTATGTCTTTCTAATTGGTTTTGTTCTCTGTTGTACACTGATAATCTAAGACAAGACTGAAGGCAGTAGAATCATATATTGTAATTCTGAAGACCCCTCAAGAAATAAGCACAGATCTTTAAATATTTAGTGGAAATCTTAAATAAATAAAAATCATAAAGCAATTTATTATAAAGACTTGTAATAGTATAAACTACTATGTTGCTGAGATAAAAGTAAAGTTGGATTGTAAAAACAAGTATTTAAAAGCAGATAAATAGAACTCAAGGAACAACTTAATAATTCAATGTGTAATAAAGGAAGTTCTGGAAAACTTGCCTTATTTATAAAGCTCAAATATAAACACAGCCTTAATGAATCGAAGACTGGAGAAGAAATAGAAAATGATCTTTTCCAAAATCCGTATAAGAAGAAAATAATTGATTTATGTTTACCCTTAACATAAACTAGACACTAGAAGTATCTGGCAAGAGATGATTAGGTTAGACTAGCGTGTTGAAAAAGAAGGTATTTGATATGCTATTTCTGCTAAATATTGGAATGTTTTTAAAGCACATTGTGGTAATAAGTGATTTATGAAAATAATTACATAAAATTAAGTAATAAAGAACAAATCCCACTTAACTTGGCCTTATTAGGCTTCCAATAAGCAGTTTATGAATAAAGTAGCTGTAGTTTATGAATAAAATTAGACTGTTATCTAGTATTTCTCAATCTGATGTGCTCTTGCCTTGAGAGACTATTTTGCAAGGTCTGCAGACATTGGTAGATGCTTACTGGCTGTTAAATTGGTGAAGTGGAATGTTCCAATTAGTAGAGGCCAGGGATGCTGCTAAACACCCTTTAATGTATAGCACAGCATTCTCCCCTAGCCAACAAGAAATTATCTTGCCCCAAAAATCAATTGTGCCAGGATTGGGAAATCTTGCTCTAAACTCATAAATGTACTTTAATATCATTTTGTACCTTGTTATGAGTCTGCTCTTTATCTACACAGATATTTCTCAAGAAGTAAAGACTGTTATAAACCTACTGAGACTAGATTTCATGTCAAATTACATGTAAAAGAAAGAAATGCCTATATGAAGTTTGACCTGGAATCAGAATAGTAAAACTTGTTTTGTGTGTCATTGGCAAAAGAAGGAGGCTAAGGATATAATTTTTAAAGTTATCTTATAAAAAGCAAAACAAAATTTCATAAGCAAACAAGAAAAGAATAACAATAGTTAGTACACTGTGTATCATTATCTTCCAAGTAGTTACTAAACACTGGTGCAAGACAAAAGATTCTTACAAAGAGAAACAGTTAATAGTATAAATCTTTGTCAACAAACTAAGATAAACTAGCAATGTAAATGAAACAAATTAGCATATATAGATAATGTATATTGAATATAGAAGCATATAGAGTTAAATATCTTTAAAACGATGAAATTTGTAGTTTGGAGAAGTATTTGAACGTCTCTCTATTTCCCATTTATTTCTCTTCTGTTTTGTTCTTTGTGTTTCTCAAATAAGAGACACCATGTGATACTTGAACTTGGGTGTCCGTTTTATTTCACTTGCCATTATTTTTTCAAGCTTCATTCATTTACCTGCGGATATTTGTACAATTTATCTCTGATGGACAAAGCTAAGAGATAGTACACATGAAACCGTGAAAAGCATGTTTAGCAGAGAGCTCAGGAAGTGATACTGACTCAGATGTTTCCTGGTTCTTTGCTGCTGATCATGAAAGTCAGTGACGAGGTGATACTCAACCTGCCACTGTCATCTTGCATCTTGGATGAAGAAATGTGGTCTACTAGATAAATTATACTGTGTGATTGTACCATAATAATGAAGTTATTTGGGTTCTGTTTTTACCTTGTTTTATTATCATGAAAGCCAGGGGGAAGAATGAGATAATGATGGGAAAAGCTTGGGATTTTTTCATACCACTAGATAGTCCTCTCAATTTGGTCTTCTCCCATGTTATTTAAATCTTCAGGCCCTATCCCCAGTCAGGCCAAACTGACTCCCCATATAATCACTAATAAAAATGACCATTTTATTAATGAATAGATAAATGGTAAAATGTTGTGGAAAATACTTTTATATAGCCTAGTTATTTTTTGTTTCTCTTGGCTTGTATGCTATTTATATCCTATCTCACTTCACAAAGATGATTCAGTCTTATTTAAAATAATATAGTACAATAAAGCTATGAAATTGTAAAGAGATCAATCAGGGAAAAAAGTTTAAATACTAATCTGAGAAGTTTTCATAGTTATAAAATGTGCTCTGAGCTTTGTGGAAAGTAAAACAGAGGGACATATAAGATTAAAAAGACTCAACAGAGTTTAAGATATTTCTTTCAGGAAAGAATTTAGCGGAAATCTCTCCCAGATAGCCTAATTTTTAAAAAGCTGATAAAAGGTTACTAAATGTTTTATGTCCTCAATATCCCTCAAGATATATTTTAAAGCAAATTTAATATATTAATTAATAAAAGTAAAATTGAGAGCAACATATGGACAAATTTAATGTGTTGAGTATTCAGAAAGCATGTTGCAAGAGTGAAGGATGGTGTACATTGAATTAAAATGATGTGACTTAAGTTTGTAGATCTTCAATATTTACTTGATCCAGCAATGATTAGCTACATCTGGAGAAATCGGTAGACTGAGCATCATGCGAAATGTCCAGTATGTTCAGAAAGTTAGTGTAGCACATAGACATTTTGTTTCTTAACATTTATCTTTTTTCATTCAGTAAACGTTCATTGAATGAAACATTAGCATATCCCATTACCATAATGCTAATGAAACATTAGCATTATCATATCATGAGACACTCATACAGGTATCAAGGGTTGTGAACAAGAAGAACTTAGTCTCTAATCTTGGGAACTTTCCGCCTAATGTGTGGCCTGTGAAGCACACAAATAATCAACAGGACAAAAAGTAGATACTATTAGAGTGTGAGAAATGCTGAGACTCATTTAATACAGAGTGGCATAGTAAGTGATACCGGATGAAGACCAATTTGGAGATTATTTCAGAAGAGACTTTTGCAGAACTGACATCTCAACAGAGGTCACAAGCCAAGACTATGAGCAGAGAGTTGCTGGGTGGGGAGTGAAATCGGTGCGTTGGAGGATCAGGAAAGGGACCAGACTGCTGGATGGGGAGTGACTGAGAAAGATGCCTGTAGTGGGAGGCAGCAGAGGGATAGAATACAAGTGATTTTCTTCTACATTCAGTGGGAAGCCATTGCAGAAAGTTCGGTAGACCAGTAGTCTACAATTGGAGAAGATATCATTTGCGATTTGAAAAGATGATTTTGATGTTATGTAGACAATGAAGTTTAACAGGGGAAGTGAGGAGGTCACTGTGGAATTCATCTCACTAGTCCAGCTGAGAGAGTCAGGTAACATGAAGTAGTGGCACGGTAGCTGTGGAAATGGACCAGAGTGAATAGATTTAGTACCAAGAGGATGAAGGTATGAGAAGGGAATTGAGGTGGTTCTGAGTGTCTACAAAATCTCTTTGATTTAAAAATCATGTTTTGAACTGGCTACTTTTAAAAATGTGGTGTAGCTTGTTCCATTAATTTAAATATTATCTGAAGGCTCATGACTCATAGATTTCCATTCCAATGCTAACATCTCTTCTTGGATGTCAATATGTATCCCAAAATCATCATATGCCAAATACACCTTTTGATTCCACTTTAACACCCAGCTCCTCATTCCCCAACTCTTTACTTCAGTAAGTGGCTGCCTATCAGCAGTCATGCTAATGCTCTGGGATCCATCTTTGAGTGTTCTATCTCTTTATCTCCTCCTCCAACCAGTATTTCAGTGAGTTTTTATGAGCTCAGCATCATCCACTGAATTTGATCACTTATTCACAAAGTCCACTGCACAATAAAAGTCTAACTCTAACCAGGCATGGTGGTGCATGCCTACAACCTCAGCACTTGGGAGACTGAGACAATAGGATTACTGTGAGTTCAAGGCCAGCCTGACAAAACAAAACAAAACAAAACAAAACCCCAGGGTGGGGGGGGTATAGTTTAGTGGCACAGTGTCTGCCTGGCAAACGTGAAGGTCATGAGTTAAAAAAAACAAACAAAACAACAACAAAAAAATGAAACAAAAAACAACCAGAGCTATTTGTGATTACTGTTCATTATAAAGGAGAAAAAGCAGTGTGTCCAATCTAATGAAGAAAGACATAAAAATAGTAACTACAGCAAAGCTAATTTAGAAGTATGAAAAGGTTAAAAATCTTATTTCACTGGACTTAACTGTTCGATTTCTTTTAAGCTTAAGACAAAACAAAGCCAAATAATAAACTAAATGTTATGATAAAACATAAGTGCTTGTTACCATTCTTTCGTCCTTTCTTTCCCCTCTAGCTGTGTAAGTTTATTTGCTAACGTTCCTTAATAGATCAGCATAAACAAAATCCAGTGAAGTACTCTCACCTATCCCAGTGAGAAATACTTACTTTGGGCTGGAGAGAAAGCACTGTTGTTCCTGCAGGACACATCCACATGGGTGGGACGTGGGGCACCAAGACACTGTTGGATGTTTCCTTAGGAACTGCTACCTTGACCCAAGCTGACCTGTTGTAGAATCAGCAGAGAGACGAGAAAGAGGAGGGAGGAATCTTACAACTCTCAAGTTGTCCAAATGCCAATGTGCACATCCATCTTGCATCTGGGTGTGCTTTTGTATTTGTAGAAAATCAAGTGTATCCGAATGAAGTTGGCCTTTCTTGTTTGAGATGACATAGGATAAATTCTACTGCTGTCTTCAGAGCTAAAACTAAATTACCTTAGCTGATGGATAGTTCCAGTGAAATGGTCCGGAATGAGTAATAATTGTGATGATCATGTGAAAAATAGCTGTCATTTATCTTTGGCTTCTTTTCCTGTTCTTCTTGTTCATGCTATCAGCCTTTCTACTCAGCTCCATTTATCCTGATGTTCTATCTTTTACCGCTGCTATATAATCGGCTTAATTATTTTAAGACAGCTGAATTGTTAAAACAATCCTTTTGGTGTGGCTTTGCTTGATGAAGACATACACTGAGTCAGCTTTTCTGGGTCTGATGTAATTTAGCATGCTTGTGTTTACACCTAGCTTCTCTTCTTCCAAATATTACCAGCTTCTTAATCTTGCAAAAGTCACTCTTTCTCATTCTATAATGTATCAACCATAATATTAAAAATCATTAGCATATCAACTTTGACTTTACTTTCAGAAAATACATGCATATCCTTCATGTTGAGATTTTCAGAATTGAAATCTTACTGTGTTCCACAAAGAGATATTTCTGTGTGGCCTCTGTTCTCTCTTGTTGCCATCTGCTCTGTTTACTACTACAGTGAATGGTGAAGGGTGAGTCTACGCATGCTGCTTTCCAGGTAATTGAGCAGTGTCTAGTGTTGGAATTTGGAAAGAGCACCATTTCTTCATTTTGGAAGAGAAAAAAATAACTTCCTACGATAGCATTTGATTTAACATACTTTGTGTGAGAGACTAAGCATTATTTATGAAAATGATAGTAGCAGAATAGGATAATTTTTAATTTGCTCATGGAACATGAATATCTACCAGTGGATCTATATTCCTTCGGGACTAATAGGTTTATAGGGTATTCAACTTTTATTCATAGAGGGATATATGCATAAGTCCTTCTAAGGAGGGTCCCTCGGAATTGGAGATCTTGCTTTTTTCAATCCCTTGTGACATTAATTAACCCTGCTCTTTTACAAATGCTCTTAATTTATTGCTCTCCACACTCCTTTGTTCCCCATTTTTAAATTGGTCTTGCCTATTTCTCAAACAATGAGACTATTTCCTTGCTGAAAGTAGTTCATTCACAGTCTCCTTACCACCCTTTCACTCTCGCCTTTGCAGTCTGGATGAGAGGTTCTCACTTTCTGCTGGTTACTATCTGGTTACAGTATCTGAAGGTTCCTAATAATTCATTCCTAATCCTACCTAACTTCCCCCTAGTGCTTGCATCTTCTCTACTGGTGACTCCTTGAAGCCAATTTGTTTCCTGGGTTCCATGTCATTTGCATTTATCTTATTAAAATATTTATTGCACCCCTACTGCATGCAAAGCATTGTGTTGGTTTTAGGGATAAGCAAGTGAGCAAAGGGAAGCCAGGCCCCTGTTTTCAAGCTCACTGGTTAGCAGGGGATCATGGAGAAATAAAAAAGATACAGTAATTATTTGAATAATTTTTAAAGAGAGACATACATATAAAAACAAATCATAGCTAACTTGGCTGAATGGAGTCTAGGGCCAATACAGGCTTTCTTTGGGGAAGTAATAGATGAATAACTTGAATAGATGTAGGTTTAAACCAAAATTAAAAGTTTGGAAACCAGGAGCTGCAGTAGACATGGAAATGGAATTTAAAAAATATTTTACGTTTCCTTTCAATCTTTCTGACTGCTTTTCTCAGTCTATTGTGGGTACTGTTTACTAATGTCTTAAGTTATAGGATTCATTCAGCTACCCTCTGAGTATTAATGACACTGTGATATACATTTCTGGTCAGTGTCTTTCTTCTGACACCATAACTAATTCCACCAAATGACTTATTCAAGTCACAAACTCAACATATCCAAACTAAGCTTGTTTTCTTCATATCTTCTACTCCTTAACATCTATCCATTTTCCTTGAAGTCCAAGCAGTCACTATTTCTGTTCTCCCAATTTTCTTAGGCCTGCCCTTATGTTCTCATGTGTATCTTAATTTCCACCTATGTGAATTGGTCTACTAGCTTCTTAATATTTCTGCATGCTGTAGGTACCCTTACTTTCCTGGCATACAAATCTATCTGCTTTCCACTTGTTTATGATTTCTTATTGACTGACAAAATCATATGAGAAATATTCCAAAGAATTTTGCACATGTTGTCAGAGCCTTTAGTGATCTAGTCTCTGCCTAATTTTTAAAGTCCTATATTGCCCTTCCACCCACATTTAGTATTGTGCTCCAGGAACACAGAACTCCTAGTGGAACAGCACTTACTTGCTTGGTAGGGCTCTACCCTGTATTGGTGACCTTACTGTTTCTTCTAGTGACAATTCAAATATTGTCTCTTTGGTAGTCTTATTTTATTCTCCCACAACTTCAAAGCATCCTTTCATCTGATCCCACTGCCCTTGATTGAAAACAATAATGTAAAAGACCCTGAGTTTGATTCCTGGTACTAAACACACAAACAAAACCACTAATGTGAATTGTTCTTAGACCATGATGCTCTAAAGCCAAAACATGCTGTCTTTTATTGTCTGCTTTGTACCTAGTTTAATTCCTGCCTCCCCCTCCACTTCTGTTTGTGGATAAGCAGGACTCTGCTATCTATTTGTCTGTCTGTCTATCTATCTATATCTATCTATCTATCTATCTATCTATCTATCTATCTATCTATCTATCTATCTCTACCTATCATTTATCATCCATTATTCTAATTTCAAGCCATAATCCCCTCCAACTACCCTTGTTCCTTTCTTTTCATGAATAAAGCAATGTCTTCACTCATTACTTTCAATTCCAAGTAATTGAAATTACTTTCAATTCTCACCATGGCCAACTGCAATTAATTTTCCATCTCTACTGTTTGACTGAAACCATTCCTATATTCCTATCAAAGCCATCAGTGCATTCTGCTTGTTTTGTTCATTGGAAACTTTTTACTGATTATCTTACTTGATCTCCTGACCACCAGGCTTTGTAACAATACCTTTTTTCCTCAGAACGTCTCCTTGCTAAGTTTCTGGTAAAAGTCATATCTAGTTTACCTCCTAAAACTGTCTGCTCCTCTTGATGCTTTCTATTGAGATTTCTCTCCCGTGGTTATTTTGTTAAATAGTGATGTTGTTCAGGCTTGTGTTTTTATGGTGTGCCTATAAAAGTGAAGCAGCATGGAAGAAAGACTGGATCCTAATTCACACCAGCATTTTAGGCACTTGGAGGTGATCTTCAATATTTTTATTGATATTGAATAGAGTTGTAATTCAGTCAATCAGTGTTGGATGCACTGGTAACTTCCAAATCCACATCGTTATCATGGGCATTTGCACTTGAATGGCACATATGAAAATTGACCTATTAATTTCTATAAAATGCCTTATCTTTAACTTTTCTTCAGAGTGACTAAAAACATAGAAGTCCCCTGTTGGGTTTTCGCCATTAAAAAAATGAAGTGTGAATTTCTTGTTTTCTAGGACATATTCTTTAGAAAATATAAGGTGCAAAGGAAAAACACAATGGTAGTCTCAAATTTAAAAATCTTATTACAGTAAAAGTCACAGGGCCACTAATCTGTCTCAGAATACTCCCCCAGCTTTGTTCACACTTGCCCATCGTTCTTGCCCCTTTCTGAAGCAGTTCTGGAAGTTCTCTTTCATGTCTTTATTTGCCTGTCCCGGCTACCACAATGGCCTGAGTCCATTCGGCATGTTTACCTTTGTAGCCATTTTTGCTTTGAGGAAGAGACAGAGTCCACATGGTGCCAGATTCAGTGAATAGGTGGATAAAGACACACTGTAATGTTTTATGACCTGCCCTTCCATTTGATGACACGCAGCAGCTATGTTCACCATACTGTTCTATTACATCTCCTGAAGACATTCAGGAGAGAAGTCTTGCAGAACTGCTTCATAAAGTGGAAAGATGATGGGATAAGTATATTCCAAGGGAGACGGGAGATTTTGAGGGGTTAATGCTAAAGGATCTTTTAGTTTAAGATTTTTTTAAATGTAAATATTCACTAAATATTTTGATCATCCCTTTTATTGCTTGGAAAATTGAGTGTTTTATTTCTTTATTTTCATAAATAATTCAAATGAAGGAATATTGAGAGTTCCTTTTGTCTAAGATAGTTTCTTCCTGCCTCTGTTAACAATGTGCAAAAGAGAATAATAATAATTCCAAATATCAATAGGTAAGGTAGTTAATTAAATTTGTCCCACAAAAGGCAGAAAAGAATTTCTATACTCCAGTAAGATCCAGTTTTTGAGTTCCAAAGAATTAAATTATGTGTGTGTTTGGGTCTTTGATTCACAATGATGGGATTAAGCTCTACCTAAATTAGAACAATGAAACAAACTGATATATTTTCCTACTGTAGCTATAACTATAGTTAAATGTAATTAGTCATAGCCCACTTTTTACATAAACCTTGTCAATCAATTACTGATTGTATTCAGATGTACTTTGGTTTAGCCTGCATATCTGTCTTTCTTTTAAGCTTTTAGAAGCCAGCATTTTCCATGTTGAGAGTCCAAAAATGATGTCTTCTGCTCATGTGCTAGGGTAGCTAATTATTTAAATATGTTACATTTAAATTTTAAAATTAAAGAGATGTTGGAAATGTAAAATCCTTATGGAACTAGGAAACTGTATGCTAGAGAAGTTATCCAAGTCCTCACAGCCAATTACAGCAAAGCTGGAAATAGGAAGCAGGTCACTGTACGAACCAAAATTTTGTATGAAAGGTAACAGCATTATCTTTCAGGGCCTTATTAAGTAATAATCTTCTAGCTGAAGATGACATAAAATAATAATAGTGTTTATTGGGTTTTACTTTGAAATTAATACCAAAAAACATTTGAGAAACATAGCTGCTTAATGTCTGATATTTCTTTTATCTCCTGCCTGTTATGATACACATGTTCATTCTCTATTTATACTTCATAATTAATGAACATTGTTTGCCATACTTACAGTGTAAATGAATCTGAACCTTCTTTTGAAGCAACCAGAAGGTATTATTTCTATTTTAACCTGAGTTTAATGAGAGTTTCTTCCTCAGTCCTTGCTTTAATCCTTTACTCCTAGTCATGCTGTTCATTCTGATGATGTACAGCCATGATTTAAAAGTGCTACATATTTGCCATAGCCGTGGTTCACAACCTTTGCAGACTGCCAAAAGCATTGATTTGTCCAACAAAAATGGTTTATATCTCAGTCACATGTTTTGACTTTGGCTGAATCTCAGACTGCCCTTGTTAAACTGAGCTTGAGAGTTCCTAAAATAAAAATGTAAGAACTAATGCATATGTTTATTGTGATTCAAACAATGATGAGGAGGTCTAACCCATAAGGCAGAGATCTAGAGGCAAGTGCTTTATCTACTTAAAATAAAAATTACCCTTAGGGTTTGGGGGTTTAGCTCAGTGGTAAAGCACATGCTTAGGATGCCTGACACCCTGAGTTTCTGTGCTAGCAAAAAAACCAGCAAAGAACAAAAACCCCTTCAAGACCAGGAGCATGGGAGGGCAGACATGTCAGAGTTTGGGAACCATGGCTTTACTGCACATATAATTATCTAAATGACTGCTAGCATCCTATACATTATCATGTCTTCTAAACACCTAAGATACAGTGTTTCTGGATGATCCCTGACCATCTAATGTCTCTCTTTCTTAAACTTACTCTCCTTTAACCTTAATTCCTTATAGTACTTACAGATCATGGACTAACTATGGAAATTCAACTTCTAAGCTGATCTGTTCCCTACCCCGCCCCAGTCCCATCGCCCTCTTTAACTTCAGCCCACATATATTTTCATAATTATTGCAAATTAAAGTTCAATGTGTATATGTGTGTGTGTATGTATGCGTGTGTGTGTGTGTGTGTGTGGTAGAATTTTCAAACCAAAAATAATGGAAGAGAAGGAAAAGAAATTGAAATATTAAAAATAAGTTATATAAATGTTTTTAAATATGTAGTTTTAAGATGTGTGATTTCAATGTTGAAATGAACTTCTTAAGGTATTATTCTTTTTTTTGAAATATTTGTTACCCACTACCTTTAAAATGTGACAAAGTAATTAAGCCATAAACAAATAGCCTAATTATACTATCAATTTCCTCCTTTTAAAAAGATCTATCTATAAAATTCTTTAGCACAGACAGTACTTTTACTAGAAAACAAAATATCTGTGGTTATTGGAGAGAGGGAATTTTTATTAATTTTTTAATTATTGGGAAAGTATAGTCATTTTCAAAAAGAAAATTTACATTAACAATTTATACCTTAAAACATTTCATCATTATGCATTATATGACATTGTGATTAAATTTTAATCTCGTTAATTTAGGTGGCCTTATTTAATCATTTCCTAAAGTTATTGACTATTAAAAATTCTCTTTTAGTAGTTTTCCATTTCTGTTTCTGGAATATTTTGTCAACTATTTTTTCCTTAGTTATAGTAAAATACGTTGTACAGTGCCCTTATGTAATTCTAGTATTTTGTTTTTCTGTCCCATTTTCCAGTAGGAACAGGTATTCTGTGGCTTACGCAGCTCAAAAACCTTGGCTACTAAATGCTACGGTAGAAGAAAATATTACCTTTGGAAGTCCTTTCAACAGACAAAGGTAATTTCGCACACATAAAATTTAGTGCTGAAACAACTATTTCTGACCCATATTCTTGGTCTCTGGTTTCTGAAATCGTTGCATGCGAGCTTTCTTTTCTTCTATCTTCATTCCCACATTATTTTTAAAGAAAATCTTCATTGGAAGTTCCCACCCATTCAGTACACTCATTGAAACAATTAGGACACCAAGACCAAGCCATGGCAACTGAAGTATGTGTGTATGTGGGAGTGAAGGTTGCTTAGGTTATGGGCAATCAGATTAAAAAAGAAAAAGGAAACTCAAGGAAGTTCAAGAAGGACTGTGATGGACAGAAGAATTATGTGAGATCTGAGGAGCTGAGTGATTTGAAACCCCAGAATACGTCACGTCCCAGGTATCTTCCCCTGAGACATAAAGTGTGACCCTTTCTTTGACCCTCTTTATGCGGGTGAATCATTAGACCCTAAACTTGAGGCTTGAAGGTTGAAAATTAGGCAAGGGGAGAGGCATGAGGGAGCAGGAGGAAATTTGAAAGCAGATCACATGAGTGGAAGAACATACCTTTCTTGGGGTCAGGGAACAAGTCAGACAGAACGGGATTCAGGAGGCCAAGATGAGGTCTTGAGGGACATAGAAGTCAATCACATATATAATTGTAATTATGTGTGGGGAGGCACTGCAAGTCTAGGAATGGGAAAAACAAGGTAAATGTGATTTTTAATGTGTCAATAGTGACTGACATATTACATATAAGTAGATATAGAGATGCAGATATTCTGAATTGAGACCAAGGAGACATTTAAGATTCCACTGAAATGATTACCCAACCATACAGTGAGTTACCTGCATTTGAAGATGACAATAAAAGAATAAAAAGCATGAATGAGTGATAAAAGGAAATAGCTTCTAGGATAAGAATGGACAAACATGAGGGCAAATAGAAAAATCAAGAATGATATGAGTAGTTTAGGACTATGAACTAAGAAAACAAAACCACTGGGATTTATCAGGCATTTCCAGTACCCATGTGTTTTAGTTACTTTTTTGTTGCTGAGACAAAATACCTGACACCCAAAGTTAAAGGGAAAAAAGGTGTGCTTATTCACGGTTTGTGGAGGTTTCAGTCTGTAATTGGCTGGCTCCATGGCAGGGTGGCGCATGATAGAGGAACAACAATTCATGGCAGTTGGAAGACAGCAAATCAGCAGCCGACAGAGACAAGCCTCTTTCTGTTTCTTATATTAATCCCAGTCCAGCAGGATTAGAGAGATGCCAATCTAATCAATGGACTGATACAGCAATCACCCACCTTTAACCCCAGCACTCTTAATCTCAGCACTGAACTGCCAATCAATTACACACTCTAGATTCAGCCGTCTCCAAAAAAGCCCTATGACTGCTTGAGGTTTTGGGGGGACCTTTAACTATAAGCCATAACATCATACTTCCCTATACTACCAGTGCATATTTTAGTTCAGCTCCCAAGGTATTGAATCTGGGACTTAGTTTATGGGAAATGTATTAATGGTGAATTCAAACCCAAAATCATTTCTTCCAAAGGTACAAAGCTGTCACAGATGCCTGTTCTCTTCAGCCAGACATTGATCTGTTACCATTTGGAGACCAAACGGAAATTGGAGAGAGGGTGAGCTATGTGTAGTTGAATTAAGCAATAAACAAAACCTGTCTCTGGTTGTTTTTAATCCCAACATAATGAACTCTGAGAGAAGAAGTCAAATGGTGTCCTAGTGACAAGTTCCAAACTAAGGACAAGAGTCTTGATGCTACTGTCCGTTAAAGATTTATCAAGTAACTACCCTTGGAGAGTTCTCAAAGAATCTAAAATGCAGTCCCTGGCTTTGAGCAAGGATAGTTTTACTAGCTTGGAGCTTATTTAATTACTTTAGAAACTGAGGTTGCTTCCAACAGCTTCTACTCTTGTCAATTTCTATTTATTCTTGTTAAAGTGCTCTGTGTTCTTGACATAAACATGTTTTACCTTGACGTCATGTTCTTCTGACCAGCTGAAAAATGTTTATACCTGAAATCTTTATAAGATCAGTAACTAAATATGTTGAACCTCATAGGTATCAAGTACTGGGTATAAACTCTATATACATTATCTCCTTCATGTTGTGGGTACTAACTGTTTTATACATTTTACAGCTGAAAAAGCCAAGGCTGAGAAAGCGTAAGAACTTGCCCAAATGCAATTAGTGATGTACCAAGGATTATGTTACCTTTTGTTCTTAATGGCTTCTGTCACATCCAATGCCCTTTATTTCAGCATAGTACAGTGTTTAAGAAAACTTACTTAACTTCTCTGAACTTTAGGTTCCAGACATGTAAAATGACAATGGTACCTATATATTGGAATTAAGAAATGTAAAGCCATTTACACAAGCCTAGCACATCGTAAGTGCTAGATTAATAGTGGTTTTTAAATATATATATGTAATATATATATGTATATATAACTTTATGCTTCCTTGTGATTTAGAAATTCCATCAGCCTTGTTTCTTTTAGCTCTCTTATCAGGACAAATGAAAATCCTATTTAACATAATATGTAATATCAAATGTAAGAGTTACATGTTATATAATCTACAGAGAAAATGCAGGAAACTAGAAAAATGTGGAGGTGCTTGCAGTTTTTAGTGCTTGCCAAGGGCTTTGATTATTAATGCTTCAGTAAAGCAGAACTCTCTCTAAGAGGGGAAAGATAAACACCAATGGTGAAAAAGTACCTTGATGTAATTCAGTTACCATTAGGTCATTTTCATTTTTTCTTATCAGTGTTACCACAATTTAATTAATAAATTCCTAGTAATTTAGGTACATTTCAGATGTTTGAATTTGAAAGGCAATTTTGCCAACAGATTCTATACTAATGGGAAAAAATGGAAGTTTCTGGTTATTTTATCCTTAGGGCATCAACCTGAGTGGGGGGCAGAGGCAAAGGATCTGTGTGGCCCGGGCGCTCTATCAGAACACCAACATTGTCTTCCTGGTAAGCACATGACCTTTGTCTTTATTTCTTTCTTATGTTTTTTCTCTGTACAATGATGAGTCTTTAAACAGACAGGTCAAGTCCATTATAAAAAATGGTTTGACTTAAGAAAAACTTGGGAAATCAAAGAGTACACGGGGGAACTAATCCTCCCTTGGTACAAACCAGTAGAAGCCTAGCATGGACCATTGAAAGCCAGGAGGATGTAGTTCATGCCCAAGGGACTGTGGTGCTCTAATGTTTAGCCAAGTTTTCTGGTCAAGAGGATCACTAGTAAGGGAGTGTGGAGTATTAGATCAACTGGGAAGAATCATGAATCTTATTTATATTTTATGGCAAAGAAAGAAGGACCAGAAAATATACCTTGGTGGCCATAGGGTGAACAAACACAGCTCTCCATTCTAGGACCATACAATTCAGACTCCAGTAAGATTTGCGATGCATCCTAAAGCTATAGAAACCTTGGTTCTACTCTAGACCTATTGAATCTTTATCTGTAAGGAAGAGTGTACAGCTGCTTCTAAAAAGCTCCATAGGTGATGTTCATGTTTATATTGGGTTGATAATGTACTCTACGCATGCAGTGACAAAATTTGATATTTAATTTAATAATGATTTTGGTTCCTCCAGAAGGTAATATGTAGCCCAAATGTAGTCTGTAACTATCCAGTGTACACTGGAGACCAGTAGATTGTATAAATGTACCTTTCCTTTGTCTTCGCCTTCTCTTTCCCCCTCATTCTTTGCAAGATTACATTTAGTATCAGCTCTAATAACTTCTTGGTCGTTCTTTCAGAAGATACATTGCTTACTGTTAAGGCATAGTCTTTTGTTGTTGGATTGCATATGGGCTTCCTGTTGATGTATGTTGATGTATAACAAGCTGACATCATAGATGACTAAACATAAAGTTATTATCTTACAATTTGGTATTTCAGAAGTATGACAAAGTGTTTAGTAGGCTATGTTACCTTTTCTGGGGGAGAATCCATTACCTTGAATTTTCCTTATCTTCTAGAAGCTGCCTATATTCCTTGTCTGGTGGCTGCCTTTTTCCCTTTTCAAAGTTAGCAAAGTTAGCATACCTTGTGACCTCTCTTACATCGTCACATTTCCCATCTTTATAGGCCGTAAAATGCTTTGCTTTAAGGATTCTTATAATTATTTTGGGTCCGTCTGGGTAATGTCCTCACCTTAAGATCTTCCATCTTAATCACATCTGCAAATCCCCACTTGCCACGTAAAGTAACACAACACTCTGGGAATTAGCACTGGGACTCTGTGGGACTATTGTTCTACCTGCCCAGGCAACTCTTGTGATTGAACAGTTTTAATGTGATTGAAATCTGCTTCTGTGCATTTTCCACTCTTTGACTCTCACACTGCTTCCACAGTGAGAGATGTATTACTTTTGTGCAGCCCTACTTCAACATTTTAATATTATTGTCATAACTTGCCTTAATTTACATTTCTCTAGACTAAGCAAGCTTAGCATTCCCAATTCTTCTACAAATGACATAATTTTTTACAACTTTCTTTATTGTGGATTTCAGAGTGTCTGTCAGATTCCCTTTTAAAAATGTGTGCTTGATGAATCCACATTAGCTCAGATAACTAAAAAGATATCGGTTCTTATGGTCTGCATATTATATTTACTTCTTTGCAATTTAAAATTGAAAGACACACTAAGTAGCAACTAAGAGCTATTGATGTGTTTCTGAATTTCCCCGAATGAAAGTATCTTATACCTCTATGTTTGAAAGCTCATTAAGCTCTGAACCACAGTGCTGTACCATTTGATTCTCCTGTCAGTACTGCAAGAGGAGCAAACAGACAGACTTAGAGGGCTGATGGCGAGTGAGAGTTAGTCTGGGCTAGAACTGTGTATCTTTTGAATTTTCTAGTATTTTATGAAAATGTCTTTGCCAACTTACTTGTGTTGTCTTTTTTTTCTCCGTCATTTTCAAAAATTCTCATATTATCTTCCTCTTTTTTTAATACTTTCTTTTTTTTCCTCTATCCACCAATGATGTTGTTAGCTCCATCTTCTGCACTAGGCAGATGAAGCAATGATGATTTCTTTACTCTGCCTTTAAGATTGTCACATGTAATTACTTGCATGGTTTTACATTTTGATTTAAATAAACTTTATTATATTAATGTTAAAACATACAGGAGCAAAATACACAGATTTTAATTGTGCATCAGGAATAGTATTTTTAAAATTTTATGAAATCTTCAACTTGCCATGTATATCAGTGAATATATTATTTATGAAAGATATGCATATGATGAATATAACACAGAATAACATATTCATTTAATATAACAGAAGTTTATTTATGAATAGTAAATAATCTTGAGAATGAATACTTGACCACACCTTGAATTGGTCATTTGGAAAATTATGTTGCTTTCTTTAAAGGAAGTGTCTTCCAAAACCATTAGCATACATACTGAATCTTTTTTTTTAAATTTTATTTAAAGAGAAAAAGAAAAAAACAGAAAAAGGGTACAAGTAATACATAATTTCAAAAAAATAAGCAATCACTAGTTAATAGATTACATATTGTCGTCTTACAAATAGTTGTTCAAGTTACAAAGTTAAAGCATACAAAGTGGACATTCAAACAGTTCTGCTCAATGATCTAACAAAAACTCAGTAATATGGTTATCTATCTTATATACTTAAATTTACATGCAGTTATATCACTTAGAGCACTTTGTTTTCCTCTCTTTTTTACAATAACAATTACACAGTTCTTAATTCCTTTTTTTTGAAGAGAATAAAACCAAATGTGCAAAACAAACAGAGTCAGTCAAATCAAAAGGATGGACTTAGTACATGTTGTAAAAATAGAATACAAGGTGATCAACAATGGTTACCATAATGCCTTTTGCTATCTTAAAAAGAATTGCCTATATCATCAGTTATAATAAAATTGATAAAATGGTACAGAACAAAACGAACAAAACTGAAACATTGGAGACATTACAGGACTTCAAAAGAAGATAATAGTCTAACCAGAATGGGCATCATAGTGAATCTTATTGTCTTCAAAGTATTTGCCGCCGATACCCTCAAACTTGATACTATCAAGCAAAACAGAATCGAGTAAAATCAGTCAAAAAAGATGGTGAAAGCAATACAGGGCTTCAAATCAAGTTAATAGGAAATCAAAATGGCAAAATGGTTATTATAATATATCCTGCTTTTTTAAATTTATTTTTTCCCTTAATTAAAAAAATAAATAAAATGAAAAAAAAGAGATTGAGATAAAAGAGGACATAACAACACAACAGCACAGGTCAGAACAGAACAATTTAAGCAACATAGTGTTTCACCACAAATTAACCTGACATAACAGTAGTTACCATAGTAGCTCTTTCCTTGAAATATTTGAGTATAACTTTATATACTATAGATCAAACATATCAAGACAATGTAAAACTATTCAAGAGAATGAAAGTATTACAGAGTATTTAGAACCAACTAACAAAATGAACAATGGTTTCTATTTTATCTCCTTGTCTATAAAAGTTTTTGTTTGTACTATCACATATAATAAAATCCAATAAGATACAACATGATAAGACAGATGGAGACAGAAGAACAAAAGCTTGATGGGACTTCAAAACAAGATGATATTAAAGCAGCACTAGCTATTATGATGTCTTGTTTTCTTCAAAATAGCTGTTTATACCATCACAGACAACCCAGAAATCAAACAACCCAGAATAAAACCATTCCAATTAATGAATGAAAACATTATAAGGCTTCAAAGCAATATAATGGGAAATCATGATCACCACATACTTTTATGTATTGTTATCATTTTTTATACTAGGGAAACTATTCGGTATTTATACATGTGAGTTTGATTTATTTCACTTTATGAGTATGGTCTCAAACTGCGCCCATTTATTTATAAATATCTCAATGAGATCATTTTTTATAGCTGAGTAGCACTCTATTGTATAAAAATACCACAACTTTTTTATCCATTCCTCAGTTGATGGACACTTAGGTTGTTTCCAAGATCTGGCTATTAGGTTGTTTCCAAGATCTGGTGATTACAAATTGTACTGCTATAAACATGGGTGCACATATATCACTGTGGTATGATGCTTTCAGTTCTTCTGGGACTATGCCTAGAAGTGGAATAGCTGGAACAAATGGACTTCCAATCCCAGCTTTTTGAGAACTCTCCAGACTGACTTCCACAATGGTTGCACCAGTCTACACTCCCACCAACAGTGCAAGAGTGTTCCTTTTTCCCCACAGTCTCTCCAGCATTTGTTGTTGTTGGTTTTCTTGATCCTGGCCATTCTTTCAGGAGTGAGATGGAATCTCTGTGTGGTTTTTATTTGCATTTCTCTATTGAGTAATGATGATGAACATTTTTTCTTGAAGCAGGATGCCTAGTCCATCAAGCCAGGATTTTTATTAAGTTTTATAGAAGGTTATAGCACCAAGATGCCCAACAGTGGGGTCATGACATATGAATGATAACTTTGGATGACCTAAACATAATTCTACACACTTTGCATACATTACGTCACACATTGGTATGGCTGTGATTCTTGCTCTTACTGATATTTATTGATAAGAAAAATGCTTGGGGGACAACTTTTCCAAGATCACAGGGATGGTGATAGTGAAGCAAGGCTACAAAATCCAGGAGGTTGGATTTCACAGTCTTATACTCTTAATCACCACACTCTCCTTTATTAGAGAAGTCCCAGAAAATGCTAAACTCCCAGAGTAATTCATTAGAGAAGTACACACAATATAAATTCACCTCAGTTTTATTTATAAGAAAATAAAAATAAAATGCTTTTAGTCATTTATAGAGACATTTACTATACTATTTTATTGGATTTTTGCAGTAATCTGATGTTCTCCCTGACAAGTATTTTATCCTTATTTTACAAGTAAAGTAAAATTTGAAATATTGTCCAGTGTATAGCGTGGTTGTAACTACAATTTGTGTTTTTTA